TTGAAGGTGAAGGCGGAGACGTCTCGGGTTCTGCTGGCACCCACTGCTTCGCGATCTTCTTCTCCACCAATACCACTCTGAGAATAATATCCAGAACAATCAACCCAAACGCCATAAAGAAAACACTATAATACCCGGCCCTCGCATACACAACTCCCCCCAACAAGGGCGCCACGAGCACCGCTACAGACATGCTCATACTCACATAACCCATTGCCTGCCCAATCATTTCATGATCCACGGTATCGGCTAACAGCGCCAGACCGACGGTCCAGACGACGGCAGCGGAGAAACCTTGCAGTAAGCGGCCGATGATGAGAAGAGCGAGAGTGGTACCTAGACAGAGCAGCAGGGTTGAGCCAAGGAGGGCGAGGAGTCCAATTAGGAGGGGGAGACGCCGGGAGGATGTGTGATCAGCTACGTAGCCGCATATTGCTGCCAGGGTTTAGTATGCGGTCTGTAAAGGGGGGTGAGATTAGGGGGGGGGTTACGGGAAGCACCGAGGAGAGCAGCGCCATAGACGGCAATGAGGACGGAGACCCAGTGTTGGACTGTGGATGAGGAGTCAATGTCAGGTGATTGGGAGATGCATGCGATTTGGGCTCACCATCTGCTTCGGCCACGCCAACGCGGGTTGTCAATGCGAATGGTATTACTGGGACGATCTGAAAAACATGTAAGAAATACTGAGGTCGCCTGGAGATATATGACCAACATGGACTTACTATGCCGTAGAGAAAAATATCCTAAACAAGCAGAGGAATTAGTCGGATTCTTGCCCAAGCAATGTTTCGACATTGGGTCAACGTGAACGTACGGTAAAAACAGCGATAGAAACAGTACCCAGTATGAACGAATACGAAGATCTATATTTCAACAGAGGCGGCGCTTTCGAAGCATCTCTCGATCTCCATGCCAAGATATCCCGCGTCATGACGTTCGAATCGAAATCAAAACCACGTTAGTATTTCCTCCCAAAGCCGGTCAAAAGTCCGCCAACGATGCAAGTAGATGTCACGTATTAATACAGGGCATGAGAAACAAGTAAGGTCCAATGCTTGCAAGCCATGGCAAGTATTTAGGTAGGAAAGAGATATCAAGGACAAGAAAGAAAATCATATATACACAACATGGTTTGAAAGATATCCCGCCGTTGACTAGACTTGGTGCAAACCCCAAGCGCAGAATGGAAGGAGCGTGGGAGTGAAGAGAGGCGTAAAATTCGCCACCAAGGGAAGCACTTGCCTAATCGAATCTAGCCGATTTCAAGGCTCCAAAGTCACCTCACTTAAGTGACACCATTCCTTTCACTTCCTGTCCCTGCTCCAATGCCTCAGAATTTAACCATAACATCTTCTTCATATGCAATGTCTATCTACACTCCCCATACACTCTCCATTTCCTCAATGCAGATAAAATAAGGAGAGAAGCACCTCCATGGGCTAGACCATCACTTCATAAAGTAATCAGAACTCCCGCTCCAATTTGTATCCATGCTAGGTACTCCAAACGACTCTCTCGCTCGCTCCGAAAAGGAAGAGTAATCACTGCTGCCATGACTTTCTACTCGACTGCAGCAAGTTGCCCACATTGATGAAAGAGCCCGGTCCACCGTCTTCGCTAATCATATCCACAAGCACCACAGTTTGTTTGTACACGCGTTCCAGTGCTGTGGAGGATGATTTGCCCAGGGAGACTAAGGTTCTTTGGTGTCAGCACATTTACCTCACTCTCAATAGCTTCCCGTCTGGAAAGAGGAATCTTACCCAAGATAGCACTGTTCAGCCCCTCCGCAAGCGGCACCCTCTGCTCGCTCTCCAACAGTTTGCCTTGCGGACTCTTCCTCGGATCTGGATATGAAAACATCGAGAAGATATCCGTAAAAGTGTCCGTCACATGCTTCCTTCGATCATCCTTGAACTCATGCTTGAGCTCTTGCCCGTAGCGTATTATGACCTCTAGCAACGTCTGATACTTCAAGCCCCAGTTGTCCCCTCCGGCTACTTCTTCCGTATCCATCCGGTCCCAGTCGTCATTGTTGTGATGGCCGCCGTCTTTACTTGTGATAGGCTCATCAAGATCCATGTCGGGTTCGAAGCCGTCATCTGAGACTGCTGTTGAGTGGCCGTTTGTCGTGGTGGACTTGGTCTGTTTGGATGTAGAATTGTCGAGGAAATCGGTACTTTGGCGCATCATCTCTATGAACTTGCGGCAGCGGAGCTTGAAGTAGATCTGGTGATTGTCTTGTAGGACTTGCGGGTAAAAAGCGTTGGTGAGTTTGATGGCTTTGTCGATGTCACCGTCGAGGATGGCCGTGCGGATCTCTAAAAGATAATCAGTGGGGTGAGTTCGTGTGATATTCGGGACGACTCTTACGTTGCCTGTTCATAGCATCGTGGTCTTCTTCTACGGACAGGTAGCCCTCCAACTTCGATTCGGATCCGCCTCTCAGCGCTGTTGCTTCTGCTCGTACTTCACTTGCAAACGCTCTAGCTGTTTCCACGTATCCATCGTGGGAAAGGTACTGAGCCACCAGCGCCTTACATAGCTCGTCTTTGTTTAAGGTAGGGTGTAGATTCGATACGTCCGCGGCGTTGATTTCGTCGATGATACTCTGTCTCTCGCGCTATACCCTGTGAGCTTCTTCCTCACAATACGGAAATCTAACGTACTGAAACCATTCGATCTATATCGAACATGAAAGGTCTTTGACCAAAGTTAACACTCAGATGGGCGTGCGGCCGTTTCATGCCCACGGATGGGTAAACCTTGACGTCTCTGAGATCCCGAAATGCATTGCCTTCAATTCGATTCAGCAAGTAGACGCAGGGTGACGTAGACTCATTTACCTTGAAAAACACCATTCTTCGTAAAGAAGGCGCAACCCTTCATGAAATTGACACCACAGCCTATGACATCTCCAGACGTAAATGTAGGCCCATAAGGCTTCCCTGGAGTTGCAGCACAAAACGATTTCCCATCATCTCCATGATATGCCCAGCTCTCCGGCTCCCAGCCTGGGAGCTTCTCTAATGATGCACTCGCGCCGGAAAATCCAACTCCAATCATGCCCTCCTTGCCTCTGGATATTATGCTAACTTCATAGTAGTAGATACCGCATTGCGCAGGCATTGGGTTGTCCGATCTCGTAGAAGCAGCCTCGTGGTCAAGAGTCTTCGAAGGTCCAACAAATTTGACGTCCTGGCCATCTGCTGATATCTCCAACCCCGCATTTTTGTCCGTTTCAGCCCATTTCGAAGGTAGTGGTGTCACTCCGTCATCCTCCACTTCGGGTTGACGTTCAATGATCTCATACGTCATACCACGATGTGAAGGTGCCATTTTGTGTAGGCTGACGCTGCTGGAGCTGGTTGAGAGAGATCCCGGTTTGGAAGAGCGAGTAAGCAGTTCATCGGCCTGAGCTGCCAGCTTGGCCTTATGTGCAGCTTTCAATTTCTCCATGTACTTGGACTCTTTGAGATACGATGGCTCGAAGAATCCCAACATGCCTCCACTGCCGGATGCACTATAGCTTTGACTCGGGAATCGCGGACTTGAGAAGCTGCCTCCTCTTCCCCACGAGCTTGGGATATCCATTCCTCCTTCCACACGCGTATCAGGATCAGAGATTGGCTGAGGTATCCTTGACGGCTGATCTAAGCTTGTAGAGTGCGTATATGAACCTGTATTCACTATGCGCGGTAGATGCCCAGAACTAGATGAGATCCCTGCTGTTCCGGCGGCTACTGATGCGTAGGAAGATCGCCGTGGCATAATACCAGAGGTAGGGTTCGAATATGAAAGGTGTGGAGCTCCAGGAGAGCCTTCGTTGGTCATTTCCAGGCTCCTCTGTCAAGAGGACAGATGACCTATTTTCCCACCCTTCTTTTCCCAGTCGATTCCCTTGATGAAATATGCTTCCCGTGCTAAGCTCCAAAGGAAGTTGTGAAGGTGTGTAGACTTCTAATGCTGTTAATGGAATGGCTACCTCGAGGCGAAGGCGCCCTTCGTACTCCCTATGACACTGGGATCTGCGCTGTCATCTTGTAAGGGTAGCCCAGGTATTTTCCGGTCGAGAGGTAGAAGCGGCAGCAGGAACCTTTCATGATGAGTGATTTCGGCACTGGTGGTGTCTAACGCGTATTGCTGCAGGTGTAACTGTAATTGTACCTTGTACTCTACTTGTAGGTACTCGGATCTACCCCCGCATCCCCGATGTCATGCGAATGTACCCCTTATCACGAGCTACGAAAGCATGGGGCACATTTTAATTAACTTCGATGACGATTCTAGATAACAAGAAAGGTAATACTGGCTCTATGTACCGCTCTGGTGAATTCTTGGTTCGCATAGCAGCGTACTTTGGACTCCTATGTGCTGACCGTTACAAATCGAATATCCCATCTTACCATCGGTCCGCCCATTTCACCCTTTAGAATTCTATTCCTGTTCCACAAGAATAGCAGCGCCTCAAAAGCATTGCAGTAATACAGTATTGGTCGCCTTTGAATGAGGATGACGAAACTTTAGCACCAGGTAAAAGACACTAGCGCAGGCAGTCCAGGTTTGATCTGGCTCTCACAGAATGGCTGAAGCAAAAGGCTCCTGGAGATTTGGCAGCTCGGACACTGGCATACACAATCGCCATAGATAGGCTTGTGGCCCAAGCAAGTCAGTCCGCGGTGGTATGTTGAGATAGGCCTTCTAATTGTATGCAGTTGTGAAGACATCACTTGCAGAAAGGTAAGAAGACCAAGCATGTTGCGTGCATTGTGGGCCTCAAATGTCAAGAGAGGAAGACGCCGTGTCTATCGAGTACATGATGAGGGTTCCTCGCAAACTTTTTTGCTTTTAGCGTCAATTCGAACAAGTACACATAAGTAAACAGTATCCTAGGGATGCACACACTTGAACTCCGCGCTATGCTGGCTCACACAGGAATTGAATGCATTGCTGCATCGTACATGCCCGAACGACGATAGCCAAGGTATTCCAGACCCTCAGGCAGGTATGGCAATTGCAGGAGCCGGTGAACTGGCGATATTGGAGGGGTTGACGGCGGGACTTTTGTCGCTACCGATGTTGCTGCTGCTGTTCTCTTTACTCTGACTGTTAGGGGTGCCTTGCCCACTCTCGGCTTCCGAACCGAAAGCCTTTGCTGTTGGGGCCTTCCATGACGGTATCTCCCAGATCCTGCCAGTGAATGATTTGACACGAAATCCAGTCTTCTCCCACTTTCGACAAGATTTACTGGTCCGGTCAAGGGCACGTAGTCCGGCATTGATAGCACCTTGATTGGCTTTGGGTCCAAGCTTGTGGCTGGTGCCTGCACCTGGGCCTGATACTCCTTTGGCAAGTCTCGCAGCAGCGGTGCGACCGTCCGGCTTTCCTTCTCTGTGATGGGTCAGTGATGCCGAATGACGATAGCAGTGGGAGTGTAGCGAGGCTCTTACGGTCTTGCCCTCTTTCTTGGAGGATTCTTGGGCTTGTCTTTGTCTTCGCTCTCAACGCCAGCTCCAAGCTCTCTCTTTACGCCAGGCTTTGGCGCTGGCAAAGCCTCTTGCTTGACATCTTTGATAGGTGACGATACAGGTCCGTTCTCATTTGATGAAGCTGTAGTTTCTGGCTCTGACTTAATAGGCGCAGAGAGCGCTGGTTCATCCGGGGGAACAGTTGTAGATGTTGACAGAGGTGACTTTTTCGGCTGGCTTGGTTTACGAATAGCCTGCTCATGAGGAAAGCGAGACAATTTATCCTTGGACAGTTTGAGGTTGACAACTTTGCTTGGCTTTGATGGTTTGATGGGTCTGGCATTGGTTGTAGCCATAGGCGTAGCAGTAGTTGGTAGAGTTGAGACTTTCGACAGCGTGCTGGAGACACGACGAGGGGCAGTCGCAGCTTTGGAACCTGGAGCCATGATCTTGTATTGGTCAGTGACTTGTCGTCAATGAGGAACTTTTGTATAGTCACGAGGTCTTCTCGTACCTTTGGTTGCCAAATTGCGACGCAAGGAGGTTTGGCGGCGTTAATGGGTGGGAGGGGTGGTTGGTTCTTTGTTACGTGGGAAAATCCCCTGGCCTTGCGACCGGTGAAATTGGTCAGGAGAAGGAAGGCGAAGGTGTTAGATGATTATCGTCTTGCTTTTCCCGTCATGAATGCGATTTCTGGACGAGGGAATGATTTATTGTAGCGTGCTGTTATGTTGGTGATAGGAGGAGAGTTAGAGGAAATGGTGGTGATGGGTGTGGTGTGAATGGAATGGTGGCCAAGGATAAGGATTGGTTTTGGCCATCGTGTTCAAAGATGGAACCTTGATTATCCTGTGAAGGGGCCTTATTCATAATGGCGCGGTACGCTCCTTTTTTGCGCGAAGCGGGCGTGCTGTGTGAGTGAGGAACATTCACAGAAGGCTGGGCCGAAGCCAAGCCAAGCCAAGCCTTTAAGCCTAATTGAGCTAGCTTCAATCTTCTCCTTCTCCGCGAACTCGGGAGCTGCTCTTTCCTCTGAGCTCATCCATCATGCTTGCCTGCACCTGCCTGATTACCAGACATACACATACTGCCGTCGGCGGAGTTGTCTCGCCTGTGAGGCGTCATTACCACATGTCGAAGCTCAACCGGCTTCTACTTCCAGAACACTGGCCCTTGTTGAATACGCCTGGGAGACCTCTCTCCTCCCAGACTGCCTGGGCGGCTCATGAAAGCCATGCAATGGCTTCGCGCCGGGTCTAATAGCTACAGCCCTCTAGAGCTTTGCTTTACTAGATCCCATCTTCAACTGATTCATTGAATGCCTTATACTCTCACATTGCCACCTGAAATAAGAGGGACCACTGGCCGATACTCTGCACCAAGATAGCGGAATGCTCGAGGGGTGGTGATACAATGTTGCACAGGGTCCTTATGCAGGTCCACGTGGATCTCACCTCCATGTCGTTGCCATGAAGTTTTAAAGAGCTGGCAATCGGTGGGGACGAACCGCGGAAATGGCAACGCTGCTCGTCATACCAATTGGTCACAACTACACGTCTCGATCTCTTCTCTGCTTTCAAGGCAGGTTATAAGATTTCATTGAAAAGCCTGCTTATTTCTTGCCTTTTGGAGTCTGTGCTTCTGCTGAATATGTGCCTTTCACTCGTGATCCCCAGGAAGGAAAATTTCCTCCCGAGAAGGCATCTCTGTGTACGAGTATCTCACCAACACTTGGCGCAATCAACGCCCACCAAGCGCTTAAAAAGGGAGCAGTACTAGATCACACCTGAACTCCTGAAGGCTTCATTGGGGCTCGTATGGTAGTACACGGGCCAGAGCCGCGGTAATGACAGTCACATACTTTTGACGGGAATGAGGCGTTTTTCTGCCAGGCCCAATGAGCAAGCTCAAACAAGGACCTGTTTGGGCAGGAAGGTGACCTGAAAGATCTGATTGTGGGGGGGGGGAGGCCCTCGGGGTGACCTAAGTGTAACGCCCGGGAGTCCCTCACTACTAAAGTACTAGCCCAAAACAACTGTTTGCGCCTGCACCAATCACAGCCCTTGCTCACCCATCAGCTTTCAATGTACTGTGCTAAGTTCAGGAGTCAAAGAATTCTGACTTCCTATTATTCCAGCTACAATGCGCTGCCATTCATCGCTTGTCTGACGGAATTGTTCTGCTGACAAGTACAAGGTCTCGTCCTTGTTCTTTATTGGCTGGTTATGAGGCCTTTGGTTTTCCCTAGAATCCCGCCACGTTACCCATACATTCCGCCACGTTTACCCATACATTCCTCTTTCTATAAGAGTGCTACCCCCTTGATACCAAGTTGGAAAGAAGTATCCAGTCTTTCCTCTCTACCACACTCTCTTTGCTCCTCAGAATATTCACTCTTTACTGCGTGTGCTGACTTTCGCGCAACACTCCTTACCATGTTCTTCCAGCATATCTCTCTCTCAGCGCTGTGCGCCACCACCCTCCTTGACCTGGCATTTACCTCATCTGCTGGTCACGCTGTTCACCGACACCACCCTCGCATGCTTCCCAAACCTGATACTAACCTAGTCGTCCTTGAGCGCAGAGCTGTCGCCGGCTCAGTCGACATGCCAGCGGCCGATTTCAGTATGCTACAATCCGAATTTACCGCCTTCAGCACCTGGATGAATTCCTGGTTCAGTTCGACGGAGTCGATGCAGCAACTGAATCAAGAACTTCAGAATCATAACGGGTTTGTCAACGCGTGGTTAGAATCCGCGTTGAGCGGCTCAGCTGCACCGGCACTTCCTCCGGCTGTACCTGTCTCACGCCGAACAGACTCCGGATCTGTAGAGATCTCTCAGGCTCAACTGAATTTGCTTCAATCGGAAACTACCACTTTCATTTCGTGGATGGGTGCTTCCACCAACTCATCGATGGCTAATACCGATGCCATTAAATCTCAGTGAGTAGTTTTTTCCCAGCCATTTCTTTCTGATTTGTATTGCATTTTGAGTTGCAAGAGGTGTCGCTAGAGTAAACACTCCTGGGACATGTTTCACGACACAGATTGGTTCCCAGAAGAGATCTGCTAACTGGGAAATTGTATAGGATCAAGACCGAGTTCCAAGCTTACCAAGGATGGGTGACTGCTTGGTTAGCTGCTGCGACACCAAACGGCGCATCTGCTTCTGCAGCCCCGTCTAGCCCCACCCCATCAGCACCGGCCTCGACCCCAGTTACTGGTCCTGAATCCCCGAGCTCTGCTGTGACTGTCGTTTCTCCTACGCCATCACCGGCCTCCACACCATCATCTTCATCTTCAAGTGTTGCAGCAGTCGGGTCAGGTGCTGCAGCTCCCGCAGCTACTCCAGCCTCATCCCCAGCATCAAGTGGTTCTTTCAACGCTAAGGCGAAAGATAACGTGGCAGTCTACTACGGTCAATCGCCCGCTACCAGTCAAGTCACGCTGGCGAAATTGTGCTCCGACGATAGTATTAATATAGTCATTCTAGCTTTCTTGAGTGAATTCTTCAGCGCTGGTGGATTGCCGACAATGGATTTCGGACCCGCTTGTGGGGGGCAGAGCTCTCAGATGGAAGCTAAGGGCGCCACCGGCATGTTGGAGTGTGGACAAATGGCTACAGATATTGCTACCTGTCAGAGTTCCGGGAAGAAGGTCCTCCTGAGTTTAGGCGGCGCTACTGCGCAAACAGCCTTCACGGGCGATGATCAGGCGAAGACGTTCGCATCTACGCTTTGGAACCTCTTTGGTGCTGGGACGGGCTTGGATGCAGCTCTACGGCCGTTTGGAAAAACCACAATCGATGGTTTTGACGTTGGTAAGTTTATTACAGAATTCATCTTGGGCAGAGTGTTCTTCGTGCTGATTTGGAGTTTACAGACAATGAGGATAAAGACCAAACAGGCTATGTCGCCTTTGTCCAGGCTCTCCGCACCCAGTTCGCCACAGATAAGTCGAAACAGTACTACATCAGCGCTGCCCCACAGTGTCCCCTTCCAGATGCTTCCATCCCCGTGGGAGCTATGCAGCTCATGGACTTCGTATGGGTTCAGTTCTACAACAACGGCGTTTGCGACATTGGCCAATCCGGCTTCGTTGACAGCTTCACTGCCTGGAGTAAAAACATAGCGGGGGGCCCTCAATTATACATAGGCGCCCCTGCCTGCACGGCTTGCGCTGGCACCGGATATTTAGCTCCAGAGGCGGTGACGTCGGCCATCAAGAGCGCTACGGCGGCCAACGTGCCCAACATGGGTGGAGTCATGCTCTGGGATGGATCTGAGGGGATGACCAACACGGCCGGCGGACAGAATTACAACCAGGTTGTAAAGGCGGCGCTTGGATGATATACGAATGATGATGGAAACATGATGAGCAGGCACTGGAGGCCTGCACTCTCGACGAGCATCTACGATCGAAACGTCTCACTTCTTTTACAGTCGTTTCTGGATACCCCTTTTTCGCAACTTTCTTCATCTTCTGTACGATTTCTGGGCTGGGTTCGGAATTCTTCTCTGTCATTTCTAGAACATATGTAGGGGCTCTTCGCTTCACGAGCAATCAAAAGGAGGCTGGGTGTCTGATCGATGGCTGAAATCCTGAACCCCGCCTCCATTCTTCCCGGCGTCCTTCGCGCAACGGACCTCAGCTGCGTATCCAAAATTTCTCTTGCTGCTAATGATGGTCGAGTATTCGCAAATAGCTGCGTCCGTTGTCTCCTCTCATATTTGTAAGCTTTACGCTTTGTCAGAATATTCTTGACACGTAGCCATTTTTTCCAACGTGTTTTTTCATTCAGACAGATGAATGCTATTCTAATACAGCAACAGAGAGTAGAAAAACCATTCATCTTGTGCCCACCACCAATTACTTCCCCATCTTTCAGCGATGATGACATTATTGCCCCGAGGATATCGGACCCTCGACCCTCATTTTCATCCGCCTTACCTGAAGTAGAAAAACCAGTGTATCCTTCCCGCCGATTAGTTTTCTTCTCGAAAATTCTCCACGGACGCACGCCCTCTCAGTCCACGACTCCGACCCGTACAACTTGAATATTCTATCTCACTCCATCATTCCCGTACCGTCTGCCCCAGCAGCATTGCCAACGTCACGATCTTCCACCATCTGCATCGGATCACCGCCTTCTCATCCCGGCCGTCTGAGCCAAAGCAGCGGTCAAGGATGGCCGATTCTCCGAGCGAGAAAGGTCCATCGCGACTGTGGACCAGACTGGCACTTCGCTTGCTAGACTAGCTAATCGAGGCAGAGATTTGGGATGAAGTGTCGAGAAGACGCCGGCGCGTTGCGATCGGTCCATGCACCGTTTGAAGGACGGTCTGTCTGCGCCGATACCCAGCTTTGAGGCTCTCAGACCTCCATGTTGGCTAGGGCTTTGTTTGGGGGGCTATCCCGTGTCCGGAGCGGGTCTCCACTGTTTGGGACGGTCTTGTGTCTGAAAAGGCTCCGTTTGAGGTAATAAGGGTGCATAGAGTGCTGTGATGACCCCGGTGGATTTAATAGCCGACCTTTGCACAGATACATTTGTGTTGTTGTCTTTTATATAATGAGTTGGTTTCCCTGACAAGGATTTGATATTCTCAGGGTTCTACTGTTCTTTTTCGTTTTGGAACAATTGCTCCATTCCCTCCCTTGCAGATGGTACGAACATGAAGTCCTTCAAGCGCCCTCTCTTTTCGTTCTTGCTCCCTTCGTCACTCGATGACGATCTGGAGCTGGTGGAAGGTCTGCTGGAGGAAGAGACCGATGCGGCAGTCCCATTGCCGAGCAAGCACGGCACTTCCACGTCGGCGGTGGCAAGCCGGTTGGCTGGGCTCATCAAACGATTCACAGCAGCACTCCTTCCGCACCCAATAGCCCGTCGCGTGGCACCCCACCTCTACGCACCGCCACGGATCCACGCGACATCCTACCTCGACGGCCTCCGCGGCATCGCCGCGTTCATCGTCATCTTGCATCACTACACCAACCTCGTGACCCCCTATCTCGCCTACTACAACGTCGACGCCACAGAAACGAGACCGTCATCGATACTCCAACTCCCATTCATCCGCGTCATCTACTCCGGGCGGCCAATGGTGCACATCTTCTTCGTGATCTCCGGCTTCGTTCTGTCCAAGAAACCTCTCAGACTAGCACGCACCCGCAACTACGGCGATCTGCACACCACGCTCGCTTCTTCCATCTTCCGCCGTGGTCTACGCCTCTTCCTACCCGCCGCAGCATCGACGTTCATCGTGCTCCTCCTCATCCGCGTCGGATGGTCTCGACAGCAGCCGATCGATGGTGGGTTCTTTGCTGAGCTGTGGGAATGGACGGGAGTCCTGTTTCGCATTACGCAGGGGTGGCGATGGGATATTATGCAGGAGTTCCGATACGATATGCACACTTGGACGCTTCCGGTTGAGATGTCGATGTCCATGTTGTTGTTCGTGACTATCACAGGTCTTTCAAGGTGCGAGTCGTCGACCCGGCTTGCGCTGATGGTGGCGCTCATGTTGTACTGCTTCCTTAGTAGTCATTGGGCAGCTGTTGAATTTTTGGGTGGTGCGTTTATTGCTGAGGTTGATTTGATAGAGGAGGACAAAGGTTCGGAAAGCCCATCTTGCCTTGGGTCGACCGGTCCGGAAGAGCATGCCAGCGACCAGGTCGCTCCCGACTCGACCTCTACATCTTCCACGGTGCCAAAAACGCCGAGATGGGCCGGGGTAGCTTTGGCTGTCTTCTGGTCTTCCCAACTGATAGCAGCGCTTTTCCTCTGCGGGTGGCCGAATAAAGATGTTGAACAAGCCCCGGGACTAGCCTGGCTGGCCGAACATTCCCCAGATCCATACTACTCATGGGGCTTGGACGGCGCCTTAATGGATTGGAGAGCTACCCCATGGTACATAATCGCTTCTCTGCAAATCGTATTCGCATGCCAACAGCTGCGTCCTTTGCAAAGATTCTTGAGCACGGAACCGATTCAATACCTGGCGTCCATTTCATTCGCTCTATACCTCATGCACGGGCCACTTTTCGACAGCCTCGGTAACAGAGTTATGGATCCGATCTGGGACTTCGCCGGCGTGCCCGGAGGTAGAGCTGGTGTGAGGGAGGAAACCGCGAGTGCTTGGCAGCTTTTCTTTGTTTGGATGGCAGGTGCGGTAGGCTTGGGGGTACCTTCAGTGTGGGCGGCTGATCTATTTTGGAGATTCATAGATCAGCCGTGTGTGGATTTTGCGAGGTGGTTGGATGCGAGGTGTGTTGGAGGAGAAAGTTGATTGTACATAGAGCTACCTCAGTCTTCAGAAAAGATTAAAGCGTTGAGCAATGGATTTTACGTACGTCTTGCTCTGTCACTGTGATGGTACTAGACACTGTGAACAAAAATATATCTTACGTGAAAGTTGAGCCACGATTGCTGAAAGAACAAACCGGGCACGGTGTAAGAAGACAGCCGAGGAGAGAGCAGGGAAGTGTTTGTAGACGCTAACAATGGCAGAGATGATGCCGGAGTGAACTTAGACCCTACAAGATATCTGTATGATGTCAGGATAGCATGGAATTGCAAGACCGAGCATCTCCATAAGCTCGTGGCGTCAATCGCTCTACCATATTTCCTTTCCGCAGAAAACGTATCCAAGTCCTGGAGCAATTGCAATTGCAATTGCACTGACATTGTCCATCGGAACCCCTATCTGCCATATTCGCAGACGGAAGGTCGTCCGGGCTGAAAGGTCAGATGCCGATTAGAACAGCAAGAATCCCCCTTTGTTTGTTCCACTGAACATCCGCATCATATCCTATAACCCGACCTCTTTCGAAGAACAATGCCACATACCCACATACCCAATTGCAACACAAAGCCTCAGAGCCCTCATCTACTCCCTCGTTCCGCAATGGCAACACCCGCTTCCGGCGCCATGTTCAATTCAACGCCACGGTCCGTAAACGGCACAAGCGCTCATATACAAACCAAAGCCTTGCAGACCGGCCTCAACAGTTCGACAACCTCGCCACCGCGCCCGTCGCCAGCCTGACAGGCGTCGGTGACTACAGCGGAGTCGATTTCAACGCCTTCTCGGTCCTCGGTGATCAACTAACCGGCGGCGTCGCTTCCCAATCACCACCCAACCGTGCAGCTTCTCAGCCCGTGCACCATCATCTGAGAGTAAATACCGAAAGCAGGCATCTCACTGAGTGGTGAACCAGGCATCGTGACCGACTCCCAACAACAAGCCACCAACGGAACCCCAACCGTGACGCCGGTCGCGCCGTACGTCTACGTTGAGCTTGAAGATTGCTACTGTCGGTTGCGCTCTCCACACGGGCGAAGACATGGCTAGCACTGCAGTCCGATGTACGATCGCTGTCGCTGGCTTCACAGAGGGTTCGGATCAGGAAGTAGCTTTGAGCTTCCATCACATTTACGTCGCCTTCATTGGCTGCGGCGCCCGTGTCGATGGAACGTGCAGTGTCGCCGGCGACAGTTTTGGCGCAGAGGATAGTCAACGTAACGATTGTGCGGGATGATCCGTTGACGCAAGCGTTGCTGATGATAATGTGCACGGGTTTTGTCTACCTCCTAGGATCCGTCGATTTACTCAAGAGCGTTTGTACTTTTCTGCTATTTTCCAGGTCCAATTTCTTTTGGACTTCACCTCAACAATTCTTTATCTAGAGGGGTCGTTTGCGGTGTGTTTGTAGTGCTCGTCTTTGTTTGGTCATGTCGCGCTAGTGGGATTCTACTGCCATCATCAGCTACTGTCATCGCGAATAGCAGCGCTCATACCTCTGGATCAGATTCCCCAATTGGTCTTCGCTCCATCTCCAACGCATCACTTATCTCTTGCCAATCTAAAAAGGCCGGAACAGAACCGGCCTCACCCCTCTACTGTGGCCGGAAGAGTTCCGGCCAACGGTACATATACCCAGATTCCTCCCGTTCGCACCATTCCTCCTTCACATCTCCAACGCAGCAAACAGTTTCTTGGCAAAACAGACCCAGAACGAATCATCTCGCAAACTTCAGCAATGGGTTCTCTTGCCGCACCTCCAACCTTCCCTCTCCCCACCACCATACCTACCGATGACAAAGAGTTAGCAAAGCTAGCACCCTTCACTGTCTCCCTCCCCAACGGCTTCCTTCCGTTGTCTCTCCCACCTACAACCCTTCCCCCGTCCTTCTCCGCCCTCTCTTCTCTCCTCGCTCGCATGCCCATCCGCACCGCAGCCGGCGACCCAGGCCTCCTCGCCACATTCAAACTGGGTGAAACGCTGCTGCGCGAACTTCCAGACCTGACAAATGAGGTCGACAAGGTGAAGGATGACCTGAGGACGGTAGGGGGTCTGTATAGGGATTACTGTTTCCTGGCGAGCGCGTACCTGCTCGAGCCGTGTCACGAGCGCCATGTCAAGGGCGAAGGGTACGGACTGGGGCGACAGAGATTGCCAGCCGTGCTCGCGAGGCCATTGGCCAGAGTAGCGGAGATGTAATGTCGTCGTCTGATTGTACTCCTGACACCGATTTAACGGGTTGAGCAGCTCGGGCTTCAAACCCTTCATGGAATACGCCGGTTCCTACGCCCTCTTCAACTACCGCCTCCAAGACCCAGCACTCGGCATGGAGTACGGCAATCTCCGCCTCATCCGCGCATTTGAGCACGGCCTTGACCAGTCGAGCTCGGAAGCGGGCTTTGTGCTCGTACATGTGGACATGGTCCAGAACTCCGGGCTATTGGTCCAGGGGGCGGTCAATGCGCTATCGGCATGTGGAGATGGCAATAGGAAGGCATTCAATGCTGGATTGGAAAGTTTGGTGGAGGCTATGGTGAAGGTCAATGGGGTCATGGATGGTGAGCAGATCCTTTCCAAACCTTCTTGCTGATGGAGAGTGATGAATGAAATTGACATTGTCTGCGAGGTATGTGGAAGAAGAGCAAACCAAACGATTACAACAGCTTTCGTACCTTCATTTTCGGCATCACGAAACAGTCAATGTTCCCACACGGGGTTGTGTATGAAGGCGTGAGCGAAGAGCCAATGTCTTTTAGAGGAGAGAGCGGTGCGAATGATAGTATGGTGGGTGCTCGATAAGAAAGGTACTCGTGACTCGATGAAATTGATCCAAAGCAGATCCCGCTATGCGACAACCTTCTGGAGATCAAAATGCCAGAGACACCACTCACGGATATCCTGAGCGACTTTCGCTCGTACCGACCTGGCAATCACCGCCAATTTTTGCAGTGGGTCAAAGATAGAGCTCAGGACGTTGGCATCCGAGTCTATGCTATGATGGACAGGCAATCTGCTGGTAAGTGGCGAATGGAAGGCCAACCGTTTCTAGTACCTAACCCTTGTTCGCAGTGTTGTATCTCCATGCTCTGAACCAAGTTCGTGACTTCAGATGGCGACATTGGTGCTTCACAAGAGAATACATACTGAAGAAGACGACCCATCCGACTGCCACCGGAGGCAGTCCTATAGTCTTGGTAAGTCTGAACGGTAACTAGTGGCTTCTCTGACTAATACTTTTCAAAAGTGGCTCCCCAACCAGCTCTTCAGCGTGTACGATCAAATGATGGAGGTTGACTGTGCTAATGGTGGCTTGCCAGAATGCGGAGACATCATGAATCTTGTGCGTTCGCAGCGCAAGACGTTGGAAAAAGAGGTCGATAGATATTGCAGCGAGCGTAGCGGTTGAGCTCTGTCTTTCACTAGGATTGGCTAGAGTTTAGCCGCCGGTTGATGCATTTTGGCTGTAATGGTACAGCAATGTCCTCATCAGCGCTGCTTGATCCTCCTACCTCCGCTCAAGGGATCCGGGAAGCCGAATGCGACCTTGACACCCATTGCTCTTGCGAGCTCTACAGCATCGATACTCGTAGAATGGCATCCGTCAAGACACAAATGCTCCAGCTTACCCTCAAGCCCAATAACCAAAGCCTTAACCCCAACACCGGTGACATTTGTGCATGCAATGTCGAGATTCTTGAGGCGAGGAAGGCTCCTTGCTATGAGGATTGCTATCGCATCATCTATGTTGCTTGATTTGAGAATCAAATTCTCAACTCCCTCGAAATAACCAAGGGCGATGAGCTCTTTCAAGTTAGCACTCGAAAGAGTGATGCAGCCGCCAATATCCAGATGCGTCACTTTCCCCTTGCTCGGTAATAACCATGCTTGGAGATCACCCGACGATAACCCAGACCATCCTGCCAGCGACAGGCGAACCATCTGGGCTAATTCATAGTCCGCGAAGCTGACTCTTTGAATGTGAGGAACATTGTGGCAATTTGCCATTGCGAGCGTACGTATAGTCGACGGCAACAGTGGAGGCATTATACCAGTCAGACGAGACATATTCAGGTGTTGAAGTTGAGAAAGGTTCGAAAAATCTATACTTAAAAGAGAGGGTAGGACAACCCAACCTTGGATACTCAATGTACGGATATCAGGTATTTTGGTTAGAAGCGTATGCAAAGCAAGCGTGGGGTCTCCTCGTCCTCTGACTGCTTTCGAAGTGTCCAAAGTCAGCGCACGAAGTTTGGGCATGTGGACCTTCCATATTAATGTACGATTTTGTGCGGTGACGCTTTCGAATTCCGCACGCTCAAGGCTCGGGCAATGGCTAAGAAGCTGGCCGACCGCATCACAGGATATCTGACAGGCCTTGGAGATGATAAGAGTCTTGAGATTGGATGCGCAGGGAGCAGCTTCAAGAATAGTCGCGCCGATCAAGCCTCCTGGTATTCTCAAATCATTCAACCCTCTGCAACGCGTTGCGACGTAGCGTGGAATCTTCTCCGCGTTGGATCCAAACCTATCAAGGATCACTCGAGTAGTGGTTCCATTGCCTCGCTTGATGTATTTCCGAACAGCTCCCAGAGTGACAGGCCTTTTGGCGGCGGAAAAATCTAAATCGCTCCACAAGCTAGGCATCGAGATGAGTAGTTGTAGCCACGTTTTGGAGACTCTCAGTAAGCCCCTGCCAAGGATAAGTAAATCTACCTAATAAACAGACGATCAAAACTGACACTATATGCCTGAACTCAAGATATTTGATCGTCATCTCAACGAGTTCTAAGGGTAGCATCTGCAAAGGGTCGATAGCCCTCGGCGGAGCGAGTTGTCGTGCGAGCTTCTCGTGCTGTCCTCGTAGCAGCTAGAAAGCATTTGTATTTAGCACTGGCTCGTCCAGAAGAAGGCATCAATGAGAGCATACCATGATATTAGGGTCACCAGAAGACACTTTACGAATGCCCATTTCGTAGAGGTCCAGAGCCGTCTTGTGATTGCCCAGCAGCTGCAGAATCTTGCCAGTACGAAGATAACCCTGATACAGTCAGATTTTGAGCGTCTCTGGGGGCGTATGTACTCCTCTGTACCGCGCAATTGCCCTTCTCTTGCTGAATCATCTGCCTGCCATCGTTCAGAGCAGCTCGAAGGTCGCCAAGCTTTGTATAGGTCGCAGCTCGGTTGTCAAAAACAGCAACAGGAGCCTTTGAACCCTGGCCGATTGCCTAAGAAAGTGACGTTAGCAGAAATCTGGAAAGTCATTGGCCGGTTGTTACCTTGGTGAAGCACTGAAGGGCGGCCTCAAATTGTTTCTGGCGATAGAGGTCCTGGCCACGCGTATGTAAGGTTGACAAAGTCTCTTCGTGAAAGCTCTGAGCCATGTTCTGCCGCTCTCGAAGCTTTAGAGGCCCTTCCATTCTTGGATGGCCAGACGAGAATATTCAATGCTGTCCTAGAGTAGACGCGAAAGTCAGGCCTCTTTGGTCTGCCAAGACTTGAACGCGCTGCGCCTTATTTCCGTCGGGGTTTAGAGTAGCCGTGTCACAAAATCTACCAAATCTACCGAGGGTACGATCGTGTTCCCTACACCACAGACCAGCAACAGGTCTGGATCCATGCCAATGTGAATATCAGGGTTTGTCATGGATTCCAGCGCCCTGCTACGGCAATCCAATACGGTCAATATGTCTACCAAATCAATATCACCTTCGATTCGATGTGATTTTCAATATTTTTGATTAGGACGACAGACAGCGACTGTTGTCAACAGGCTCGAAATATGTCTAGAATTATGGAACGAAGTCATTGCCACGTTCTCGAGCACAAGATCGTAAAAAAGACAGGATGGTAAAGATTTCAGTGTTCTTTTCTGCTGGTCAGAAGACTCCAATCAGGCACATCACGAGATAAGCATCTTCATACCTTCATGTTTACCATTTTTCTTCTTGTCTCTGGCCAAATGCCTATGGCTCTCTACTCATCGGAAATCCTTTGCTTCAGTCATTCCTTCAACATGGTTGTGATAGTTCATTGAAATGTCCTAGCACACAGGTGGTTTGAAAAGGAGGAGAAGTTTGAGCTGCTGTTGAGAAATGAGAAACTCCTGGTTTTAACAACCAAGAGCCATAACCAAATCTCACGTGTTTTCTCGTTAATCGATTGATCGACCAATTTACTCTAAGGAATATTCTGATTGAGTCGTCCGTCGCGAGTCCTCTTCTAAATCACCGCGATCTCGACATACTCGGGTCTCTGGTCCTAAAGCTAATGCTTCTAGATAAAGACTCATTCGCCCTTGCCGCCGCTTGTGACTGGCTTGCTGCTGTTATGGCACCTCACAAACAATCTAGATAATGACCCTACCTAGTTGTGCGCAAGGAAGGCATCTAAAGCAGATGTCAGTACCACATCGATCGGTTGCTTCTCCTAAACTTGGGACCTCTTTAGCTTTGCAGAATCCAAAGTCGACGAGCTAGTGTGGAGACTTGTATTGAAGTCCGAAACCACTCGAGCGAGGATCAAGCGCGGCTCCATCCAGGCGAAGTTCTGGTTAATACAATTGCGAACTCCGAGCCCGAAGCGATGGAAAATTTTCCGGTTGTCATCGTCAAACTGTAGTTGGTGAAGAATAATTTTGGTGGAGCCAGCGCTTTGGCAGGAACTTGGTAGGTTGGCGGAAGTTGGAATGGAACACAAGACCTGCCCGTGGGCAGAATCCGACAATTGTCTGAGATGAGAGGGGCACACATTAGTTAATATTTTTACGAATTATACCATCATTCAACTATGAAGATGACCGTGTCCAATTACTCGATCTGCTGACTACCTCCCGCAAACGGTATCATCACTAAAAAGTACATCGCGTGGGAAGCCATCAGAGACTGACGGGCAGAAGCGGAATCCTTCTTCAATAACAGCCTTCAAGTATAGTAACTTCGAATTCGGTCAAGAATAATGACGAATTCCTTTCTGAAGATTGGGCGAATCTCCTTGACAAACCTCGCCTTCTTATGAAACCTCTTGACTAGATAGCTGGTTCTCCCCAGAACGAATGTGAGAACAGCTGTTGAATACGAGAATGGTCGGCGTCGTTGAGATTCAGAATCTGGTCAGGCATCTTATTGCCAAGGCTGGACGTGGATCAAGGCTTGATTCGGGGAAGTTCTAGAGGCCGGCACGATAGGCATAGATGTCGCGTCATCCAGAATCATTGATACATTATAGCTAGGCAGGTGCTGTACGGGCTATGTCGCTGTAGTTTGTGTGAGCCTCTTCGATTTGATGAGTGAGATCGCCCTTGAACATGGAGATGATGAAGGGTAGGCGGTCCAAAGCTTAGGTCCACCGTCACTGGGAATCAAGAAAGGGTATACCCAGTAATTATTTTGTAAGCAAAGTGATGGATCAAGTCTGAGAGTACCCTCTACGAGAAGACTGAGATGTTGTTTCACACTGGGCTGAATCCCAATCAAGAGCAAAATCAAGCTTGGAAACCTGGAAAGTGTTACTGTCAAATAATTATGAAAGGAGTCATTCTTTAATCTCTTTCACCAACCGCTTCCTACGCCCAGTACCTTTAAAAAGGCGATGTATGAAATCCAATGTCTTTAACCGCGCCTTTGATACCATAATGTTCCAGTCGTTGCAAAGAAAACATGTCGACTTTTGACTAAACTTATACCTCGGACATAAAGAATGTTTGCTTTAACTCCGCCCTACTGTCCATCATGCCTGAGGTAGAATCTTGTGATACACACGCCTGGATTATCACTGACCCTCGAAGTTTGATTTGGCTGATTTAGATTTTCATTATGTCTTCGCTTGATGAACTGTTCAAGGTATGCTATGAAAGAGAATGACATTATCTCTGCTCAAATGCTCAGATTCCCTAGAAACCCTCAGCACGTAGCAACAAACGAAAGCTAGAGATCAATGGACACAATGCAGGTGAGTCTTCATTTAGGCCTCCCAAAGACTGAATTAATGTTTCACAGATGCGGTGTACAAAGCGACAAAGACAAGCGCAAATGGAGATGTCAAGACCAACGGAAGAGCCACAGTGGAGGACGAGGTTGAAGACGACGACGATGTAGCGGCAGGCCCTGAACTACCACCGGATGAAGAGGAGCAGCTGTCCGATGATGATGAGGAAGGCAGGTTCTTTGGAGGCGGCCTTACAAGAGATACAGCCGATGTGATGGACTTCATCGACGAGCAGGATAAGGACGAGACCGTACACTTGGACGCCTGTTCCGTCAAATTGGAAGCAAGACTGATGGGTGCTATACAGAAATCTGAGAAGGTCGATATAGCCTGGCTAAGGAAGCTGGCCTTGAACTTCGAAAAGAGGATATCCAAGAATACAGAACTACGAGCCAAGTTCGAAGACAAGCCGGAAAAGTACGTGCAAGGCCTCTACACATCCTGGTGAGCCTACTCTGACAATTTTTGCCAGGTTTATGGGCTCAGAAGCAGATTTAGATGCAGACATTAAAGCGCTCTCCATCCTCTCCGAACACTCCGAGCTCTACGAAGAATTCGCGAAGCTCGGCTGTGTCTCCTCTCTCGTCTCCCTACTGTCTCACGACAACACAGATATCGCTATTGACTCAATCGAGATCATTAACGAGCTTACAGACGAAAACGTTGAAGCAGAGCAAGAGCAATGGGACGCACTCGTCGATGCGATGCTAGAAGCTGATCTCCTAAATCTCCTATACGAGAACATATCGCGTTTAAATGAGGATATTGAATCCGACCGTGCAGGTATATACCACGTCCTCAGTGTCCTCGAAAACCTCTCGTCCCGCCCGTCCATTGCCGCTACACTCGGCCAGAAAACTGAGCTCCTCCCCTGGCTCCTCTCCAGGATCCGCAGACCAGAACCAACGGTCTCACAAAACAAACAGTATGCTGCCGAAATGCTCGCTATACTTCTCCAGTCATCCTCCGAAATTGGCACCAAGATGATCTCCCTTGACGGCATAGACGCGATCCTACAACTACTCAGCCCCTACCGCAAGCGCGATCCTGCGAAAGGCACCGAAGAGGAAGAATATATGGCCAACATTTTCGACTGCATAACCTGTCTCGTCGACCCTCCCGCGGGCAAAATCAAGTTCGTAGAAGCAGAAGGCATCGAGCTCTGCCTCATCATGTTACGAGAAGGTAAACTGAGCAAACCACGCGCCATACGACTTATCAATCATGCACTGGGAGGAGCAGAGGATGCTTCATGCTGTGAGAAGCTTGTGGAAGCGGCAGGCTTGAAACCAACATTTGGACTATTCATGAAGAAACAGGATAAAGAAACGACGGAGCATTTGCTTGGGATTTTGGCCTCTATGTTACGCTCGCTTCCAGCTAACGAAGCTCCAAGGATTCGCCTGCTTGCTAAGTTTGTAGAGAAGGACTATCAGGCTTGTGATCGTCTAGTCAAGCTCAGGCGAGAGTATGCATCGAAAGTGGCCGTGATTGACGGAGAGATCGGGCAGGAGAGAGCGAGGCTCGATGCTGCGGAGTCGGAGGAAAGAGCCGATGAGTGGTTCAGCAGACGGCTGGATGCTGGGCTGTATGTTCTGCAGACGGTCGACGTCATTCTGGCATGGCTGGTAGCCGAAGACGATGGAGCGAGGCGGAAGATTCAAGCTCTAGCTGGTCGGGACGGGATTTTGGAGGACGTCAGGGCTACGTTACAGGGTCGGTCCTTGATGTCGTTCAGAGGTGGACGAATGCTGATCAACTCGCAGAACAAGTCGACATTATGGATGCAAACCCCGAGAACCCGGATTCGATGCTGAAGGACATGCTCAGCACACTCATAAAGCATCTAATCTAAGCCATAATCATACATATTCTGGCGTTATATACCCAAACTGCATCCCCTATTTCATCTCAAACGTCTACAAAGGGGTATTTCCAGCGCCAGTGTGCGATCACTAATCAATGCCTAAGTACCTGTCACATGCGCCACAAATGCCCCTTCCCCTCTCCCTTCCCAGCTCCTAAATCCTTTCTCATCACCACCTCCTTAGGCCTCGGCGTCCTTCTTCCTCTTTCAACCTCGCCGCTCAATTCAACCCTCAGCACTCTCTCCTTGTCTCCACCTCTTCCTGTTCCTTCCAGTTCCGGCCCTGCATCTCCCATGCCCATCCAAAGCGTGTCGCCGCTTTTCTTGATCGGGTTGGGGCTTATACATTTCTCTCCCCACGGAGGATCTTCGCCTTTGACGAACTCCATCAGTTGTCCTCTCTGCTTCTGCAACTGTTCCGTGTCTAGCTCCCGCTCCCCGGCCAATGGTGGTTTCAAGAAATCGGCCACAAGTGACAGGAGGAAGAATTGAGGTGGGAATAGCACGCACTCTCCTTTCAGCGCAGCTTCGATCCATTCTCCAGCCCACGCGAATTTCGCAGCCGTGTGCTCGACGCCGCCGTCGGGGGTTGGGATGTGCATTTGATCCGTCTGCTTTCCCAGCCTTGGTCCCGATTCGAGAGGCAAAAAGTACAAGTACATCTGCGTTGAATAGCGTTTCGGTATGTTAGCTGGTGTAAGCCATCGCGTGAATGGCACCAAGCCCTCGGTATCCATTCGCCCTCCTTTTTGTTTGATCCAGTCCGCAAACGGGACCTTCTCCGCATGCACAGCTTTTCTGCCCTCTTCTCGTTCTTGCTCGGCCAGTTCTACTAGCTCCGCCGTATTTTCTTGCTTTCGAGCCAACAATATCCCGCTCTCTTCGAAGCACTCCCGTATAGCGGCATGCCGATAGGCCGGGCTGTCTTGGTGGTGACTCGGGTCCGACGGTGGCGGTAGGTGGCCGTCCTGAGGCGAGCAATGGCCCCCAGGAAAGACGTGGGCTGAGGCGAAGGTCGACGAGGAAGATACGCGGTGGAGCAGTAGGATATGATTGGCTGCTGAGATGAGAAGGACACTGGCGCTGGGATTGGCGGGCGGTAGCTCCTTCATGGACTTGGAAGATGATGATCGTCTCGAGGATTGCTTTTTGGGAGAGGCGCCTCTCATGGCGGCTTCGAAGAAGTCTAGATCCTTTCGTCTGCGGAACATAAGATTATGCGTGGGGGTGCTGAGGGTTGTCAAATGCCGATGCGTAATCCGCAGTGAAGGAATACCGCTGAGCGTACAGGCATCTGCAAGAATTCTGGAGGCTAAGAGGTAACTTCTTGGACCAATGGAAGTCCAGATGCTGAACATAAGAAGTGAATTGACGAGTGAATGAGCTTGTTGAGCTTCATGACGACGACAATCGCTCCAAGGGGGGTGTGGAGGGAATCCGGGGAAGATCTACAGGGCCGAGGCTAGATCACTCTATCCGTTCGCCGAGGCTCTCCTTTGGCGAGTGAGAAATGCCCCAATCCCTCCGTACGGAGATATTACCCTGCGTCGCCAAAGATACTTGAGAAAAAACTTCCCCCCTCATCTTTTCTTCTTTTTCCTCTTTCCACTGAAGAGCAATTGGAGACCCTAAGACGTCAAGACTCCCACCATGTCTCCCTCAGCACCCATCACCAAGCTTCCAGCAGAGCTCCTTCAAGCCATCGCTGACAACCTTGATATTGAAGAGTACATGGTCCTGAGAAGATCTTATCCTCAGGTCTGGCAATCTCTCAAACCTCCCGCCCTTTCCAATCTCCTGAAACTCGAATTCTCCGCCTTCGCTATTGAGCACAAAGTCTTAGCCTGCCACATTTGCTGCCGACTGCGTCCGCTCTGCAAGTTCGCCGATGATATTGTACACCGAGGCATGCTCAAGCGTAGCAGACCTGAGAGGTTTTGCATTGACTGTGGGATCGACAGCGGATTTGAGGGTTATGGGAGTGATGATTGGGTAGCTACCCTAGATGGCGAGATGCATGCAAGATGTCCATTGTGTAGAGATGTGGGAAGCGTGGGCAGACATTGTAAGGTACTTTTCCGAGTTGTCTCTTCCTGTTCGAGACTGCTTTTTGAGTCGCGAGACATATTGGAGGAACAAAAAACCCATTGTACACCCATGCTACTCCCCAAAAGTGTCTTATTGTTACTCAAATCTTGATCAATGAGTGGGAATGCTGACTCCGAAATGTGCTAGGGAGGTGGGAATCAGGAGAGGGTTGCTGTGGGAGACCTCCGTCATCTATACCAAGGATAGACTGCCAAGTCTTTCGTATCTAGAACCTGCGGTGGAGTGAGATTCGCGGTGGCAGAAGTGAATGCTTTGCAGATTCTCCTCTTTTCTAGCAACGACGAAAATCAAAAATGTCCACCTCTCGACTCAAATCTTCATTCAGAAGAACACAACAGTTGGATCTTTGCAAAATTCTGCTAAACACTGCCGCGGGTTCTACCTTCTAATCGTCCTAAAGCAGACTCGCCTTCCACCAGGTAAGTCCATCACCGCTCTACACTCTCCTTCAAGCTGACCCTTCACAGAATGCAAAGTCTGACAGCATAGGGTTTGAGGCATCAAAAGGAGGGTCAGTGACTACGATCAAGCTAGGAGATCGGCATGGGTGAACCTGGAGAAGGCCATGGAGTTGGACAAGAGCTAGGTGCTAGCGGCTGGTCTTTAAATGCCATATCGGACGTGATATCAGATGCGAGCTCACAGGAAGTAGCTTTGGCGAGTTGGTAGATGAAGTTGCCTATGCACTTCAGTCTATGAGTCTCCTCAACACTCGCTACTTCGATGGAGACCCCCCACTAACACGGTGGTTGTGGACTATATCCGACGACGCCCGCATCCAATTCCAGCACACCTTAATGAAGGCCGTCTTTGGGGAACAAGCCGCTGCTAGCTTTGGACCTGCTTTGGAGCCTCCATATGTCCTGCCAGATGACGAGCTCATGACTGAGTTTGATACCCAGATGGAGACGGCAGATGTCAGGGACTGGCTCAAGAATGAGGGGTGGTGACTCCTGGGTTCGGACGTGTTAAGGGTCAACAAAGCATGCGACTCATCCCCACCTTCAAGAACATCCATTCCAATATCCACGTGAACAACGCCCCCACAGAATTCCACAATGCCTTCTCCATCACCTCTCATGACCCTTCCAAGGGAGCTGCACCTCTCCATCATCGATCAACTCGACTTCTTTCCCTCCAGCATGACCCTTCGCCTCGCCAACACCCACTTCTACAATCTCCTCAAACCACTCAATTATCAAGAGATGCTGGCCGTAGAGAAAAGCGACTACGCTCTATTCCACGATGTGGTCCCGTGCCACGGGTGCAGACGTCTTCGCCCCGGGCACAAGTTCAATGAGTATCAGCGTCATGTGTGCGTTCGAGGTTGCCAACACCGCGAGGAGAGGACGTGCATCGAGTGCAACGTTCGGGCGATCTATGACAGTTCAGGTGAGGGTCCTGAAGTTTCTACTGGCGAACAGGAAATTTGCTGAGGATAGCAGGCAGAGAGGGAGGCGGTGGCGGAGGAGGCTTGTTTCAGTGAAGCCTGGGAAGGGGCAACCATTGGCCTAGGGCGAAGGAAAGCGATTTTTATTGCGACTGTATCCACCAATGTGGCCATCAGCAGTGCCCGTAGAAAGCGAGCAATGAAACATACCTTAAGTTACAAAGGCCTCCGAGTATCTTCCCAGCAGACTTCATTCAATTGAGAAATAGTGTCACTGTTATGGCACCGCGTAAGTGTGTAGCGTTCTGGCATCAACCAGTCACCTTGCTTCACGAGAGAATGCTGAGTTCGCGCCCAATGACCTGGAGTGAGGATCGATGGCCTGGATAGTCGGACTGAAAGCATAGGACTGTGGATTACAGCGCAAAAGGGTCCTTTGTTGGCCCTTCTTTCGTAACCAACAATATCTTGATGGCGGTGGTTGTAGGAACAAAGAACCCCATCTGATTTTCTTTCTCGGGCATAGGTACACTGAGTTGCTCAAGCGTGAAGCCATTCTTGTCTGTTGCCTGGTCAGAGCTTTGAGATCAGGACGGAGGCATCAAGTTCCCTCTACTCACCACACGCTGTGGTGAACGCGTCAAAGGTTTGCTCATTTCGAACTGTGGCGGAGATCAAAGTCCTGATGTTGGAGTATAGTTCGAAGATGTCTCTCATAGTCGCGATCAATGAAGGAATGGACTTGAGGTCATATGTCTAGACGCTAAGTCAGCCTTCCGTGTTCATTGAGGGGATAGGCATCCATTGCCGACGGCAAGCTAGGAGTGTTATAATATAGAGTCAAGACGCGGGCAAAGGGCCTGATGACCCGGAAGTGAGATTACTCACCACATCAGCTCCGAGGACCAGATCGTAGGAGCGTTTCTCCTCGCGACAATCTGCAACTCCACCGATGAGAGCGTGACCCCATTGCAGGATAGCTGTCTGGATTAATTCTTTACCTTCTAATTCATTCAAGTGTATGTTCGACTTGAGATCGCTAATGACCTCTTGACTACCATCCGTAGCCAGTACACGCTGAGCGCCAAGATGTTTCGCGCAGAGAATAGACAGGAAGCCTGTACCAGAACCAAGCTCAAGAACATCTTTGCCGGTGACAAGATGGTTTCCTTCTGAAGAAGACAGATAGGCTGCTAGAAAAAGTGCTGCTTCCCAGGTACGGAAGCCGGTCGTTCCAGAAGAAGCCAGTAACGATGGAGCTTCCAGCAGGGTGACTTGAGCAGCATTTAGGCCACGAATGGGCATTGTATAAGTCACGTAGCTCTTCTGCTGTGCTGCTGCGCTTGCGGATGGCAAAGGCTGGCCCATGTACCGAGCTAGACATCCCGATATATCATCTGAGATCTCCTGCTCGCGACAAGGTAGAAAGATTTAGTCACAAGCGATTAGAGAGTCTTCAAAAAGGAGAAGGAACGAGGACAATGCTGAGCAAAGAATGAGTTCAAATGAGGAGAAGGAGAAAGCCTACATCTTCCTCCGGATCCTCGACTGCGTCTTCTAGGGCTTTCACAACTCTTTTGAGGACACGAAATCTGTAACGCTCAGGCGGTGCATAGGTGATTCTGGACTCATCGAACAGACCATTGTAAATCTGGGACTGAGTCTCTGGCAATATGAGAAATTCTCTGAGAGGAAGCGTAAGTTCTTCCGGGTCAATAAGCTGCAGATACTGCCTCTTGAGGAGCTCCACGGGTGCAATGTCGTCCATTCTCAGGTGTCCGGCCTACGCTATTCAGAGATTATCATTTCCAGGTCACTTTCAGGTCCAACATAAAAGATCATGCTGAGCATACAATAATGCCAAGATATGTTGCGTTAGTACCAAAGAGGCTAGCTTCCAGCTAAGCGACACCTTATCGTGCACACACGCAACTCCCAGATGGATCTGCTCGATTTTGCTCGACCATCGAGGATCCAGTAACACACTCTCTCTGTCAGTTGCCACATGTACATCTACGATACCCAGAGTCGGTGCTAATGAAATGATACAGCTAGCAAACATGGCAGACCGAGAGCAGCCCGTAACGCTGCGCACGCGCAAATTCATCCGCAACGCCCTCCTCGGTCGAAAGCAGATGGTCGTGTGGGTGCTCCTACCTCGCAGCGGCAACCTAGCTCCCTCTGATCCCTCCCTCAAATCTACAATGGGCTGGAATTCTGATCTCTTCCTTCTACAGTGACGTCCTCCACCCGAACCGCGCCAACGTCTCCAAAGACGAACTCCGCCAGAAACTCGCCGAGCTCTACAAAGCCAACAAGGACCAAGTGTCCTGCTTCGGTTTCCGCACACAGTACGGTGGAGGGAAATCGACCGGGTTCGCTCTGATATACGACAGCCATGAGGTGATGAAGAAGTTCGAGCCGCATTATCGGTTGGTCAGGTACGGGGCGGCTTCGAAGATTGAGAAGGCTAGTAGGCAACAGCGTACGTATTATTTTTCCTACATGGTGAGATGGGAGGCTACGTTTGGGCACGGGGCATGGCGGTGGGGATCTTGTGCTGACTTTGCGGGGATGGATAGGCAAGCAACGCAAGAACCGAGCCAAGACTGTACGGGGGACGGCCAAAGGGAAGGCGGCGGCGTCGAAGGACAAGAAGAAGTAGAGGATGCTGGATGCGTGCTGGTTCGTGCTTGGTCAGAAGACGAGGGTGGAACATGCTCGTGTGTACCTACATATCATAGTCGCATTCTGTGGCGCATAGGGAATACAAGATCTTCCAGCTTCGAAGTAATGATTCTGCTTGCAAGATTGGTCGAATGACTCCATTAATCTATTAAAAATCTATCGAAAACACTGACGAAGCCCCTCAAGCGTCTCAAATCCTTTTTTTTGCCTGATAATCCAGAACGCCGAAGAAAGAGCTTCTCGTTCAAAGAGAGGATGATATGGCTGACTGAATTCCGGTCTGCAAGCTCTGCCAGCAAGGGAAGAAGGCCATAGTCGGAGAGGGACCATTCTATCAGCCCGTAGTCTTTGCATCGACCAATGCTGCGAGCTCTGCAAGCTCGGTGAGGATCCAAGGCTGATTCAGACCATGTAGTAGCAAGATGCACGAGCAACAATTCTAGGAGGTCAGCTGCAACCGAGGCGCAGCAACCATGGCAGCATCAAACCGAGGAACTGTCTTACTGCTTTCCACCAGGCCTGCGACCATGGCCGTTCGACTTGAGCACCTTAGCCGGGTGCTTCCCACCCCCTTCGAAGGAACCGTTGAGCAGATCGTAAGAAGGCGAACGTCGAGGCTGCGGTTGCAGGATTCGAGGACGGCCATGTGGGTCGTAAACACTCCCGTTTCTGATCGCCATGCCGGAGTCGAGCGTTCTCTCCGGCACGTGAGAGCCTCTGTGTCCACCATTGCCGTCAAAAGGTGAATTCAGGCTCGGGAGCTGGCTGTTGGAGTGCTGATTGGACTGCATCGCCAACGTTGGGCTGGCGGCGTAGCTGCCGACGTTATTCGTCGTTGAGTTGTCTATGGAGTGGAAGCCAGAGGTATTTTCGCTAGAAGCACTTGGCGACGTGTGGGTCATATTGAGAGAGCTGAGCGTCGACATTTCTTGGGTCTCGCTAGGACATGAAGATGAAGTGTTACTGCCCTGACCTGTGGCGTTGATAGCGTCTTGGGACGCCGAGCTGACTGACCCTTGGCTAGTCCCTGTCTCAAGGTGTTGTTGGTACAAGGTAGGATCTTCATCGTTCCCCTGGATGGATCCATTGCTGGCGTCGAATGAGGAATGAATACTCATTGGATCGGGAAGCGTCCTGTTGCCACCATAAGCTGGCAAATGGTTGACGAGCGGAGACAAACCAGGGAATATCGGCGATCCCTCTGCCGCCACATTTGGGACCGAAGTACCCGTAGATGTCATGTAAGAGACCGTCGAAGTCTCATATCTCAAAGGATCTTGATCGTAGAGCAGAGTGTGAGAGGTCGGTCTGCCGTTTGAAGGCAATGGATTCCACTGCTGAGCGTAATCGAGGGTGGGATAAATTGGCGTAGGTGCTTGTGACATTTGAAGAGGCGGTCCTTGAAGGGGCCTCTGCATGTCATACTGACCATTGTAGCTGGTCGGGTAATTGGTATTGAAAGGAGGGCGCGCTTGTGAAGTCGAGTATGGCGCGCTGGAGATGTCAGCAAGCGCTTCGAGTCCCCTAGAGATTGGCTCACCCTGGGCCTGTGTAAGGAGTGGGCACGTGCTGGGGGACATGGCTAACGTTGGCAAGAGCGTACTGGCTTGGATCGGTTGTGATCCGGGTCATATAGTTGGCCGGGGCAGGTGCTGAATGGGGCCATTCCGAGTCACTGGAGACCTGCAACGCGACATCATCTATATGATGAGAGTTCACCTAACTCATGTATACGTCAACAGAAGGACCAGAGTGGTGGACGTTGGTCATCCTTACCCTCAGATAGTGGCAGGAACTTCGCGGCACCCCGGCTGCCTGACAGGCCTCGCAGCCGTTGCCATCCAGGCGATCACCGGTACATTTGATCTTCCTCTTGCGGCAACGTGCACACTGCATCACATGTCAGCCCTCGTCTGCATCGGATCAGGCTGTATGAGTTGCCTTGAACAACGTACGGCTACACTATTTCGCTTCCTCGGCTTCTTGTCCCCTCGTGGAGACCTAGATTCATCACTCTCATTGCCATCAGGGTAAGCTCTTATATTACCACGATAGGTAAGCGACCTTGGCTGAGCCATAACCTCGTTTGGGTGGCGGTGGGTGCTGAGTCCTCGGGCAAGTCCGTGATAAGCACGGGTCATTACCTTGTGCACTCAACACTGGGCTCGAATTGGACTGAGCGGGCGGTGGTGTCAAGCTTTTGTATTGACGTGGACTCCAAAGTGAGAGGCTCCCAGCCAAGAACAATGCCTCTGAGACGGACACCCTCCTAGCCGCGTTCTCCCCACTGCGAAAACGGAGTGTCTAGTAGGAGGCGGTGAAGTGTTAGATCAATGTTAAACGATAGGGGGATAGAAATTGGGAACGATGTCTCAATATAAGTAGACTGATGGAGATCTAAATTGCAGAGACAAAAACTGCTACAATCACTCTGCTGCACGAGGACCAATTCGTTTCCAGATCAACGCACAAGTGAAAAGACCTATCGACTGCTCCTTCTCAGGTAGGATTGAGGTGTCTACAGATTAAAAAAATAGCGACTTCAGCTCATCGCCTTACACGCAATTCATCCGGGGTGGGTCCAACTTTAGTGGGCGCTTGCAGCCAGTGACATAATGTCAGTAAGGTACATACAGGAAACGGGATCAAGCGTCGATTATCTGCAAGATTCAATCGGATCTTAAGGTTCCGGTAGACGCTTCGGCCGCAAAAAAGTGATGAAGTTCGAATATTCTTGATACCACTCTGCTCGGAGGAATCTAACCTCGGTTGACGCCAGAGGAGCTCAGACCACAGCGCGCCAGAGAATAAGAACAGCCATTGCTTGGACGATCTTGATCCTTACTCCCGAAAACATTATTGTGGATCGGCACGAGTAAGGCAGAGTGAAACTATCCATAGATGGCTGCTGAAGAAGTCGGTAGGATCTCCTTCTCTTACAATAAGCATTTGATTGCTCACAGCAGTAGCTCTATTTGTTTTGTGATAGGTCGGCCATAATTTGGGAGGAAGGCCATGTCTGCTGTGACAGTGTGCGTTGTCTGATTGCCTAAGGGAAATCATTGTTTGATGGTGGTGGTAGGGCTTTCAGGCAAACTGTTTTAATCCGATTTGCCAGTCCCCACCCTGTCCTTCACAGATCATGCCAAGCAACCACCCAAAATTAATTGAGCACTGCAATGTTCTACTCTAATGTAAGCGAGTCTCACAGTGTGTGAGAAGAGGATGCCGGCCATCGATTTCCCGTGTCAGAACCAGGCTCTGTCTCGGGCAGCAAACCGAAAACAAGCTTGCTTGCAGCTCCATGTGTTTCGGGTCCGTCTACTGTACCAGATTTAGAAAATTTATCTTCCACGCCTCGTGATCTTGCACACTACCTTGTCCATACAGACTCATGTCGGCTCAAAGCCGCTGTAAGCATGTCCACAGAGTGGAGCAGGAATTCTCGGACTGGAAGCAATGGGTGTCGCTGAGACTAGTGTGCCAAGGTAGGATCAAAGCTGATCCATTCGCTGAACAGGCGGACACAGCGATAGCCTCGCGGCTTCGTATTGCGTATATGTAGCATGACGAAAAGGGAATTCGAGCCAGCGGAGGTCGCCCGCATTCAGGAAAAACCTCCTGCACCGCTTTTCGACTCGGACCTACTGACACGGCTCGTATGCAGCCTTACTACAAGGCATAGGTTTTGAAAGCTCCGCTGTCTGGGTTTTGCTAAGCACACTGTCCGAATTTAGTAAAACGGCACAACTATCAAAAATGATTGTATACGAGGTAGACGTTGAAACAGCCGCAACAACAGCATGGCGGGAGGCGTCGTCAACTATGGCCAAAAACCGCTAAGTCTTCCCTGAAGGCTGTGGGGACCTATTTTGCGATGTAGACATGTGATTTGATTTGATTGGCAGCCGCTGATATCTGACCAGCAGGCACTGGGCTAGGAGATTTGTAGTTGGTTCCACAATGATGAGGACGTGACGGGATCCAACGAATCTTTGATACACCGCACGGATAGCTGCAGAGAAAAGACGCTACCCCCCCCCGGGCGCTGAGTGCCGTTTCAGGCACGTATAACGTGCTGTAGTAGACGTGCATTCAAAGAAGCAGGTGTGCAGGTGTGCTGAAAGGCAGATGGGCAGATGGACAAAGCCGGAGGATGCGGTCAGCAGATTTTTGCTTCCTTGTCCTCCAAGATAGAATTCCAAGATAGCGTTCGGTTGAAGTACGTCTGGTGATGCGGTGAGAGATGCAGGCTTTGATTGATATACGCGTCGTTCCAGGGTACGGATTGCTAAAACCCCTCGGTGCTTCAGAACACATCTGCCCAGTCTTTATCTTTCAAAGGCTCATCTTTGAGTCCCTGAACGTACAAACAAACGCCAAGCACTCGAAAGCCCGTTGACGAAATTCTGCCTCACCACCAGAGCCTGGAGAACTCTGAAAACACCATCGAACGATATCGTAGAGGCAGCTTCAGTGAAAAGCCTGAGGTTAGCCCATAGGTCTAGCCTCTCCTCATTTAGACGCAACGCTAGAACCCTCGCGTGATACAGAACGACTGGCCACTCGTAAATTTCCTACTAACAACGACTCTGACGCAAGAACTTCTGCTTCATAAAGCGTTCAGATTGTAATTATCTACAATCTTGGAATTGAAATGTTTCGTAACAAAGTTTCTGTTACGCAGCAATAGAAAGCTTAGCACTTCGAGGGATTTTACAGGGGTTGCTAGTTTTCAAGTACTCTATTTTGTCGCCCGCGAGGCGCCATACCCAATCCTTGGCGGCGATCGTCCATTATCACAGACGACAGTAATAAATCGGACAACACCTCATTCTTTCAGTAGCCCAGCACCGCCTTGAAAGCTCGCCATCATGTCCGAATTCGATGAAAAGCTGCAGGTCCAGGAGACTGGAAGTGGACATGACGTCAAGAATGATGAGAAAATAGAGGAAACCGAGATCTTCGGGGAAGTCGATGAAGAGGCAGAGGAGGAAGCGCGAGAGAAACTACGCCGCGAGAGGGAAGCTAGAGCGCAAGCTCTGACCTTGGAAATTGTGGGCGATTTACCTTATGCTGAGGTCAAGCCCCCAGAGAATGTTCTCTTTGTATGCAAGCTCAATCCTGTCACAGAAGGTCAGACCATCGATCCTGCGGCCTCTACGCACGTACCGCTGACAAGCTCTGCTCAACAGATGAGGATCTAGATACGATCTTCAGCCGCTTCGGTCCAATCGTATCCTGCGAAGTCATTCGAGACAAGCGCACAAAAGACAGCCTGCAATATGCATTTATCGAATTCGAGAACCAGAAGGACTGCGAGCAGGCATATTTCAAGATGCAAGGAGTGTTGATTGATGATCACCGCATCCATGTCGACTTCTCACAGAGTGTATGCATTTTCCAAGCCTCCCCACATGCCTCTTTACTGACCAAATCTATAGGTATCACGGCTTTCAGACAAATGGAGAACTGCCACAAACTCCAAACGAGCGCAACACGGAGGGGGCTTTGGTGGTATCGCTGGTCTCGAGAAGAAGCGACAATTCAGGGCTATAGATCCGAAAAGTGACGAGGACCGCAAACGCTCTAATGGATATGGAATGGTCATTGACAAAAATGCAATACGCCATGAACGAGACAAGGAACCCGATCGACGAGACCGGCCGCGCAAACACTCACGAAGTCGGAGTCCTAGGAATCACGATCGATACCGAGAACGTGTACCTTCAGGAGATGTTCGGCGAAGAAGGGACAGAAGCAGAGACTATCAACGAGATGACTATGAGGACCGCAGCAGGAGGCGGTAGTAATAAAGAATGGTGAAGGCTCGGAGAAAACACAGGACATATACGAATCATGGTGCCATGGAGCGCGTGCATTACTGGCGTTGATGCCTACATTTTGAACCATTGGGGAGAGGGAACTTTGTATAGATACTGGAAGAAATGTCTACATGGCATGCCTGTTGTTCGACCTTGTAGGACTATCCGTAGTTTCTTTACAGCACTACTATTACACCACGTAGCCTGAGCTTTGCAGACAAAGTGCTTCCAACACTACTTACCAGGACGCACACAGCTCGATTATTCTTGCTGACTGCATTTGGTTAAAGGGTAGGGCTCAAGATCTTGGCATGCGGTAAACAACCCCCGCCACTTCGCCATTTTCTTTTGTTCCACTTCGGCCCTGGTACACAAACGCCCATACTTTCATTCAGCTAGGCAAACAACCACATTTCATGATCGAGCTAACAAGTATCAGCTACAACTACCATTCCCCGTTTCATCCAAGATGACCTCCACAATGAACAAGATCCTCGAAAAGCTAAATCTCTCCTCCAAAGAAGAAGGAGTCCCGGCAAAAGAGCCGACAGAAAAAGAATTCGGTGAACTACGGGAACTTTATGAAAAAGCAGGTCAAGAGCAAGTTCTAACATTCTACGATAAGCTTGACACCGCCGAAAAAGCGGGCCTTTTCGAGCGTCTCTCTTCTATCGATCCCAATTACATTAATGAGATCACTCGGAAAGCACTAAAGCCTCAGGACTCCGGAAAAGAAGGGCAGACCAAGCTGGAACCCCTGCCAGAAGAAGCAACCGCCTCGATATTTGATTCAAAGTCAGAGGACATCGAGTCATGGTACAACTCCGGCTTGGATCTAGTAGCTGAAGGGCAGGTTGCTGTGGTGTTGATGGCTGGTGGGCAAGGCACACGGCTGGGTAGCTCTGCTCCCAAAGGATGTTTCAACATTGGTCTACTCAGCGGAAAGTCACTGTTCCAGATACAGGCGGAGAGGATATGGAAGGTCCAGCAGCTGGCAGAAAAGAAGAGCGGGAAGAAGGACATCGTCATACCTTGGTACGTGATGACTAGTGGACCTACACGAGGGCCAACAGAAAATTTCTTCGAGGAACATAATTATTTCGGCTTGGGAAAGGACGATGTGGTCATCTTCGAGCAAGGCGTTCTTCCCTGCATCTCCAACGAAGGGAAGATACTATTGGAAAGCAAGTCAAAGGTATAAGCCATATATGATGGGACCCAAGGCCCGATATTAACGTCGATTTACAGGTAGCAGTCGCTCCAGATGGGAATGGTGGCATCTACCAGGCACTCTTGACCTCCAATGTTCGAACCGATATGCGGAAACGAGGAATCCAACACATCCACGCCTACTGTGTGGATAATTGCCTGGTGAAAGTGGCTGACCCGGTGTTCCTGGGCTTCTCTGCATCCAAGGACGTGGATATTGCCACCAAAGTGGTTCGAAAGCGAAGTGCGAAAGAACCAGTCGGCCTGATCTTACTCAAGAATGGGAAACCAGATGTCGTAGAGTACTCGGAGATCGACACAGCTACTGCGGAGGCCAAGGATCCGAAGCAACCAGAAATTCTCAAGTTCCGGGCAGCAAATATCGTTAACCATTACTACTCATTCCGCTTTCTGGAGACCATCGAAGAATGGGTGCACGAGCTCCCCCATCATGTAGCTAGAAAGAAGATACCGTACGTTGACACAGACAAGGGGGAGACAATCAAGCCAGAAAAGCCAAATGGTATCAAATTAGAACAGTTTGTCTTCGACGTTTTTCCAATGCTCGATCTTAAGAAGTTTGCATCAATGGAGGTCAAGCGAGAGGACGAGTTCTCGCCCCTGAAAAACGCCAAAGGAACAGGGGAGGATGACCCAGATACGAGTAAGAAGGATATACTAGAACAAGGCAAGAGGTGGATCGAGGCAGTCGGAGGGACTGTGGTGAGCGACAGTGGAGCTGATGAAACTGCGGTTGAAGTCTCGCCTCTGATCAGCTATGTATGTCAATGCCCCCGTCTCTTGATCCTACAGTAGTTGACAGTCCCAATAGGGCGGTGAGGGTCTTCACTTTCTCAAAGATAGGACAATCAAAGCTCCTGCCGTCATCGAGAAGGAGCCTTCGGAGTGATGGAAAGGTGATCACAACAGCTCTGCCTCTACAGGATCGGAGAGAGTATGCATGGTTATATGTTGAAGGTGTACACTAGAAGAACCGAAGAGGTTCCTCTGTGGAGCAAACGAGATGACAGTCCTGCCAGGCCAGTGCGCTGAAGGGACTTGACTAATGCTCCGCTCGTCATCTCCAACATTCCACCCCCACAATTCCGCCGTTCCACGATCCCGCATGTAGTAAGCGTAAATTCGAATTTACCCGAGAGCGGTTGGCATCTGTAGAATTTTGTCGACGTTTCTTCTCCCAAAATTGGCATTGTCAGGTCGTACAGTTGCATCGGAGGGCTGAAGGTACATAGCGAGCTGTGCTTTGGGAGGAAGGAAGCGCTGTGCGGTTGAGGGAAGGAGATTTTAGGTTACAAGGTATGCTTCGCAATACCAGAGCCACCAGAAGAAGTAGCAGAGAGCAAGAACTCAGAGACCGAGATGCTGACATGTTGCGCTGTCTTATAGGAATCATATTCTCAGGTTGGACTACAAGGTACCGAACTTTTTCACAGAGCGAAATTCACTGTTGCCATCCACACAATCACCCGTTCGCAAACAACTTCATGACCCCACCCATCCAAATCACCACCCCAACATTCCTTCATCATGGACCCAGGACCATGGCAATATGGCAATCGTCAATACAGCATCAAGCTTTCTGATACAGGTGTCGCAGGGCTGCAAAAATCGGCATTGGATATGTCTTCTTTATCGCGCCGGGCTTGCTACAAATGCGGGAACGTTGGGCATTACGCTGGTCAGTAACATGGCTCCCAGTTGGAGAAGGCATGCAAGCTGATATCGTGCAGAAGTATGCTCGTCATCAGAACGCCTATGTTACAACTGTAAGCTTCTTCGCTTCCTTGATGCTTCCTCTTCATGCGCTGACTCAAAGACAGGCAAACAGCCTGGTGTGCATCTATCACTCCTCGATGTAACCTTAAGATAATCCGAGCGCATCTAATTCCCATTATAGGACATGAATCCAATGGATGCCCGCATCCTCGCACCACCGACAGTAAGTCAATACCCACACAGAGATCTCTAGGATGGTCACGCTGACTCTTGCGAAGCCAAGCAATGCTATCATTGCCAGGGTCTTGGGCACGTCCAGGCAGACTGTCCGACTCTGCGTATCAGTGGCGCCGGCACGGGAGGTGGACGCTGCTATTCTTGTGGCCAACCGGGTCATCTAGCGGTACGTACTCCTGCATCTCGTATTCGGTCGTTCTCGCTGACGGTGATCGACAGCGATCTTGCCCAAATGCAGGCTTTCAACCCGGACCTGCATTCGGTGCAGGTCGGGGAGCTGTTCCTCCCCGTGGCGGATTCGCCGGCGGTTTTCGCGGAGGCTTTGCGGGAGGTGCTGGTGGTCCACGTCCTGCAACATGCTACAAGTGTGGTGGACCAAACCACTACGCTCGTGACTGTCAGGCGCAAGCTATGAAATGCTATGCATGCGGCAAGCTGGTGAGTCGACTTCGGAAAATAATTTGTGAGTTTCAAGTCTAACCCATGCAGGGCCATATTTCTCGCGACTGCACAGCTCCCAATGGCGGCCCCCTTAATTCTGCAGGCAAGGTCTGCTACAAGTGCGGTCAAGCAGGGCATATATCTCGGGATTGCACAGCGGCCGAAACGAATGGTCAGATCCCCATTGATGGCGCAGTGGATCAAGTGCAGCCAGCGCCTACCACCGTCGTCGCCTAACGTCACAAATTGAACGGCCAACGATCGAATCTCCTTTCTGTACTATGACCATACGCTTGTTCACAAATGCTTTGCATACAATCTCCTTTGCCAATACTAGCACCTAATGTTGACGAACCCCCCAAAAGCGATATTCCATTCAATGGTGTTCCGCATCCTGCCATATCCAAAGACGTGACGAACGGCGTCATCCATGTATTCTAAACATCTTGCTTCTGCTGGTGCGTCGCGTAGGAGAAGAGATGGATGGACCTGGAGGAGCGAAGGAAGACGGATGGTAAGCGCATGGACGAGCGCGGCCAGGATAAAGAATCAAGGCTAGGATGGAGGATCTTCGATGATGATGATGGAGGACCTTGTTCAATTGAGTCAGTGCTTGGCTCTACCATGATTTTAGATCCCAGAACGAGACCTCAAGAGTCAACATTGGTTAGGCACAATTTTTCGTTCCATTGACAAACTGCAGCTTCTCTCCTTGAAAACAGTGGTGCATTCCTTTCGGTCTGCAATAGCAAAGAAATGCTTTGACTTGGCGGCTTTGAGACAGAAATCTCGTCCTTGAAAGTGGACAGCTTGCCAAGACTCAAAGCTGTGTCTCCACAGCTCGATATCTCACATCACCTCCAACTTTTTCCTCGACCAAATCTATGCTATTCCATCCATTTTTCCAACTGCACCGCCAGACGAGTCTACCTGCGGGCTCGAGATAGAAACTCCTACAGCTATACCTTGCGATGACTGCCTCAACGGCTGGAGATGATTTCGACGATGAGGTTTGAGCAAGCTTACGCCTTCAAATGACTGCCATTGAGAACACTATCTAGGACTTCATCGTTGATATCGACGGCATCCAAGCCCATGGTACGTTCCACCGTCAGCAAGCCACAGCCGTGTAGTGCTCATGAACAACAGGTGTGGGAGCAGCAGACATCACAAAGCTCAAGGCCAATGGCTACTACACTGTTGCTGTGGGGATTTTCCTTGCTTTTCGTCGAAATGAAAAAACTTGCTGACACTGCTAAGTCGGTCCACGCTGCTACACGCAAGACGCTTCTCAAGGTCAAAGGCTTCAGCGAAGTGAAGGTCGAGAAGATCAAAGAGGCTATCACGAAATTGCAAGTATGTTGCTCTGCATTCAATCCCTGCTTGACTTTGACTACATCGCAGCGTAGTGGCTAGCAAGCGATTTGCTGACCCTGCACCTCCCACCAGCCTTCTGCATCCGGCTTCATCACAGCAGTTGAGCTCGGTCACAGTAGGAAGAGAGTATGCAAGATCTCGACCGGAAGCAAGCAGCTGGACTCTATTCTCGGAGGGAAAGTCTGCCAGAGCCAGGCGCCGGGCTCCCAGCGGCTAACAGTGTGCCAGTGGATTCCAGAGCATGAGCATTAGCGAGGTATGGCAGCACCTTCGAGATTACTCTCTCGGCGACTTTACTGAATTTACGCTCATCTAGGTATATGGCGAATTCAGTGAGTTGCATGCGTAAACTCTGGGCAAAATCTCGGTCTGAAAGGGCGAAAGGATGTGGAAAGACTCAGCTTTCGCACACAATGTCCGTTGTTGCTCAGGTTACTTGAAACTCTCCGCTCGACCAGCGTTTGTGAGCTAAAGCAACATCAGCTGCCGCCGGACATGGGAGGAGCGAGTGGAAAGGTCGCATATATCGGTACAACCTAGCATACATCCAACCCTGATGGTAGATAGCTGATATTCGCTCTCCAATTCAGACACTGAGGGGACCTTCAGACCCGAGAGGTACTCGACTCATCGTTTCATTGGCTCAACACAGCCTGCTCACTGTCACAGAATAGCACAAATCGCCGAGCGATTCGGAAGTACAACCCTCATCCTCTGCACATCAGGAACCCTACTAAACTCACCCAGTGGATCCCGACCAAGCCCAAGAAAACATTGCCTACGCCCGCGCCCTCAACAGCGAGGTCCGTACATAAAATCTTCCGTTCCCTATCCCTCTACAGCACCTCGCTAACATTCGCCATCGTGCTAGCACCAACTCGAACTCCTAAACACGCTCTCCTCTTCCTTCGCCGGCAACGAATACCGCCTCCTTATAATCGATAGCATCATGGCCTGTTTCCGCGTCGACTACTGTGGCCGTGGCGAGCTCGCGGATAGACAGCAGAAGCTGAATCAGTTCTTATCAAAGCTGACGCATATGGCCGAGGAGTTTAACGTTTGCGTTTTGATGGTACCGTCCACCTCTCCAACAATCTAAAGATATCAGTGGTAGACGGAGCGGAAAGCTGATGACCGGGGCAGACCAACCAAGTCCAATCCGACCCCGGCGCCAACGCTCTCTTTGCTGGTGCCGATGGCCGCAAACCCATCGGTGGACATATCCTAGCGCATGCTTCGACGACGAGGGTCTTGCTCCGGAAGGGGAGAGGCGAGGAGAGAGTGGCTAAGATTCAGGACTCGCCTGGTCAGTCGTCGCCCTGGTCACAGAGAAGCAGAGTCCTCTGACACGCTCTGACTCGTTGTGCAGATTGTCCCGAGCGTGAAGCAACCTACGTGATCACGAACGGCGGCATCAATGATCCAGAGAAGGCATGAATGGGATGAAACATGAGGACATTTGGGAGAAGTGGAAGGTAGCATTTGCATGATCATGTTCCACCACGTCGCTGTATCCCCTGCATTCTGCGATATAGCCGGCGCACAGCTCATCAGCCTTCAAAGAACATTGGCTTAGCAATAACAATAATGAACGCTTCTTGTGGTATCTTCCCTATCAGACGAACAAATCCTGTGGCGTCACCCCCCAACAACGAACCTCGCCCCCATCACCACCCCACCTTCTGTGAACACTCCTGCCCTCGCCGCCCCCACATTCCTTACAGTACCACTCGACGCATATGTAGTAGCACAGTCTACACTCAGCGCCGGTGTCTGGAAATCACGATCTAGAGCATCAGCATTCAGCTGGGTCGGTACTCGATCTCTCCGTCTTGACCCAGGAGCTGGGGTGTCCGCTTTCCCATCTTGCACGCGTCGTGTAGTCATCTTGTCGGACTTCGTAGCAGGACTGGTAGGAGATGGCAACTTGAGCTTCACAATCTTCCTCTGCGCAGGGGTGTGATCCCTCGTCATTGGGGCAGAACTGAGTGGTGAGCTACCCGCCGTTGACGCAAAGCTAGTCTGTGTAGTTCGTGCATTGGTCGGGATGGTGGGATTGCAACCGGCTTTATGGTCATTGATAATGGCCGTAGCTATCGAATCGATCTGCTCGGAGAGCGTTTGTTTGGTAGTGATGATATCATAATAATGGCCGCGGGACCGCTTGACCGCTTTTTCAAGCGGAAGCGCTGGGAGTAGGCGCACGTTTGGTGGGGAAGAAGGCACGGGATTAGTCTTGTTACTTGGAGTAGGAACCGGAGATGGTGCGACAGATAGTGGGGAGGTTTTCGAGTAATCGTCAATAGACTTGGCGTTCCCGAGCGCTTCTGAACGCGACTGTGGCGCTGTATATGTACGGTCTCTCGTTGTTGCGATGCTTTGAACCGGTGAATGATCCACAGATTGATCCAGATTTGTGGTTGTAAACCCCTCGTGTCTGATCGGGGTGGGGTTGATAATGTATGCAGTTTCAGGCCCATCTTTGTTACCCTTACCCCAAGTGATGACAGCGTCAAGGATACCAAATTTGGGACTGCCAGCTTTCTGCATTTCTTCAATTTCCTTTGGCATGGATAATTGGGCCAGGCTCTCCAGATACTCGCCAATAATTGGGCGTTCGCCATTTTCATCTTGCCCAATCTCGTCAGCTTCAGACATGAGGGCGTCTGAAATTTCATTCCATCTCTGCTGTGCGCCAGCATAGGCCACTTTGCCCCGTCGGTACTCTCTAAGGCCTCCATCTGGGTTCTGACCAGAGGGAACAATGACCCAAGGTTTCTCAATCAATCGCCCAATTCGGTGACCAGTGAAACGGACAATGTGCTCAGTCATGGTATGAGCCTCGCCCGAGTAGCGCCGTGGGACGTAATGAGAGCCGCAGGGCGCGCCATTGAAGTAAACGTCGATCTTGACGTCGTTGATTTCGGTTATTGCAGTCGCCTTATCCTTGCTACCTTCAAAAGACTTATTGGAGAGGAAGACGGTGAGGCAGAGGGCATGGGGGATGAAAGGTGGTTTGTATTTCCGATTGGGTTCGATACCGGCTGGTGAAGGATTAGCAGAATAAGAAGCGGGTATGTAACATCATAATCGGGGTGTCTTACCATCTTTACTCGTCCCGACACCAATTTTCTCTCCATCCAAAACGACAGTTGTCCCGGCAGACTTTTTTCTAACCAACGGCACCCTAGCCGGCCTCGTGTTCCTCTGCTCTGTCGTGGTCAAATCGAAAAAGTTCTTACCCGCATGGACCATGTAGAATAGCATATCCTTATTGTTCCCCAGAAAACGTACATGGCTTCCTTCCTCTGTGTATAATGGCGTCTCGCTCAGTGTCCCATCTATCGAATCTCTAGCAAATTGCTGAGCAATATCTCGGATAGACGCGCTGGTGGTGGGACTTTGCTGTGTGCGTGGATTGGGGGTCGTTGCACGCCTAAGGTCAGAAACAGAGAGCTGGACTGTTGTCTTCTTGCCGTAGAGTGTTGGCATGATGCCGGTGCGTTGATGCAAACAGATGAAAGAAGACACAGGGAGAAGACGACGACGTTGGATTTGATGATGGGCGTGGTATGAAACATTGATGTAAACATGGGGGATTATGGATAGAGGTTCGCTTAACACTTTGTGCTGGCGGCTTTGTTTACCACAAGATTGGAAGGAACTCGCGGCCATATTTCCAGTTCAGTCACATATTGAAAAGCTTTATTTTGTAGCATTCGAGTACATCGTCGGGGGAGCAAGCCAGAGATTAGGATCAGAAAATGGGAACTTACCCTCACAGACTGAAATCATGGAGAGCACTCATGGTCTCAGGCAGCATTCTGCTCTAAGCTCTCCATGACATGCATCAAGTCATGTGCAACTGAGCCAGCATCCACTCAACCAAGCCCTCCCATTCCAGAAGTATCCAACGACACTCCCAACTCCACAATCGTCTTCTCATAAACCCTCGCAATCTCCATCTCCCACCTTCCATGATTCCCGTTCACCTGCATTTCCTCCATAATATCGTCTTCGTCATTATCAGTCGTAAAATCATCTTCGGTTTCCATACTAGACTGTGCTACACTCTCAGTATCAGTCACGCTCCCTCCTTTCCCTGCAACCTCCACCGCCGCTACTCTTGTCCTCTCAACCAGTGACCTCATTCTGACTTTCTCCGTGGTGCTCAGCTTTCCTCTGCCTCCTTCGAACCCTGATAGGATCTCACCAGTTTCAGCATTGGCGCCTTGAAGTAAAGAATAAAAGGCCATGTCAAGCTTGTGAAGCAGATGGAAGGTTGGCCGTGGTGAGAAGGGGAAAGCTTAATGATTTCGGAGTCAGCATTGCTCTTTCGGGAGAAAAGCTACGTCGCGGGACATGTCTTAGGAGCAGAGCACTCTTGGGATATGTGTGACGACCCATAAGACCACATGAATGGGGAAGAATTGCCTCGGAAAGTATCACGTACGTGCGAGACAAGTGCAGGATGTCAATGCAATAGTGAGGAGGTATGGCGTTTGAAGCGAAGCTAAAGAGATATTGAATCATTAGCAAAGGCCACATCCTGGGTCTAATGGCCTTCCGTACGTGTACCAGACACCCAAACCACATCAATCACCCCCTCCAAATCCCTCGCCAGCTCTCCGTAGCTCTCATAGCCTCTTCCCTGAATTCCAGACATAGCCTCATCTTCGAAGTCAGCGTTGAACCTTTTCTCGTACCGCCGCGAAATTTCAAGCAGCTTTCTGTCGACATAGTCAATGAAGCTACTTTCTTTCGCACTTCCGGGCTTTAGCGGGGTAGATCGAGGTTGGGGCAAGATCGTGTAGCCGGCTGGCGGCGAATTGAAGGACGAGGCTGGAGGCGAGGGTAGTGTTGGCCGGAGGAAGCCTCCGGGACCTGGTGCTCCATAGGCAGAGCTCATGGAGAATAATGATTGGGGAGTGAGGTCAAGATGCTTTGCCGTGGGGGAGCTCCTTGACAGAAAGGGAAGGTGAGGCGAGATGGTCAATACTGAGAGCTGGGTATTAGATCCCTGGAACTTGATGGTTGGAGACGGTTCCAAGGGATAGGAAGGTAATACGTGTAAGACGGCGGGAAAGGCATTGTGAACGATGTTGCTGCAGAGCCACCCCAAAGGGACAACGGTCCTGCAGTGCAAGGCAACGAGTGTCACGGGACCAGAACAGATTGAATGTGTTTGCAATTCGTGCTTGCATAGGACCGAGTTCTATCAAGTTTTCCATTACTCTGAAATGCTGTAGACGAGCCTCGCTGGAGGCTGCTATTTTGTCCCACCACTGCCTCATTCCATTCCTTCAATGAGCCGACCGAGTTCCCATGCTGTCATTCTTAGGTCCTTGACGTTCTCCCGTCTAATGGTAAATGTCAGCTGCCATTTCTCCGTGGCGCAGAGGCTCCACTCATCCTGGCTTACCTCGGTATGCTGAAGGTCTCCAGTCTCCAGAATTTTGGTCATGCACTCGTCCTCATTGGATGTGCCAAACTCATTCTCCAAAGTAGCCTTACTTGCTCCATCGTACGCATTCTGAGCCCCGTGTCTGATAGAGAATAAGATATCAGTAGTAGCTCTGACCAATGTTGTCGTGTGACACATTTGGCAATGACTGCAGAGGCTCCCTTACTTGTGCGTAACAAAGATCTTGAAGCCGCTAACCACCTGAGCTAGAGGGATGGAACGGTCGCCCTTCCACTTTTGCACAGACTCAATGTCATCAATGTAGATCACAAAGTCCTCTTCTTTACCCTGGTAATGGACCTTAGACTGGGAAGCGTTTCCGCGAGGCATTTTGACAATTTCAAACGAGTCTGAGTAAGCTTGGTATTAGGTATGGTGAGTGTATGGGAAGGTGTGATTGATTGATCTGTGAGGGTTGGTGAAGTGTCAAGTTTGAGAGGTCGTTTAATTGTGTACTTCGATCCTACCCCAGCTTTGGAGCTTGTTTGGCCAAGCCTCAAGGAGCTGCACGGGATCGACGTCACATGTCGCTTATCCTGTATAAGTTAGACCCACGATAGGTCCACATTGGCGCTGACGGTGAAGGATGGGAATATTCGAATCCAATAGAATGGACGGACTTTATGTGAAAGAATTATGGATTCAAAAAAGACTAATAGAACATGCGGGACTAAGAATTGGAAAAGCTTCGACGGCCGTACTTCCAACTCAATTGAGCCAGTTCTTGATCCCTTCCCTTGAAAAGGCTTTGAGGAGCGTCTGCGGTTTACGAAATTTGCCCTTCCCACGTCCCAGCTCGACAGAACCCTGACTTGTACCTCCTCTTGATGCCGGAGAACCCATGCAACTTTTGCGTGCTTTCTGGCTCTGAGCTAGCTTCCCCTCCTCCACTGTGGTTTCTGTTGAAAATGCTCCGATCCTCGCCGTGGTCAATTCTTCGAGCTGTGAGGGGAGGATGGGGGTTTGCTGATCGCGTGGTGGGCTGGACGCACCATCTGTCTGGGTTATACGATGAAACTTGATATGGCCAGGCCATAGACCAGGGTCCGACATGCTTGCGTGGCTGACTCTCCGCTGAATTTCAATGTTCACGGAGTCTGGGTTCTCGTTGACCAATTCCGGGCAGGGAGTGGAGTCATTCTCGGTAATGCTCATATAGGTGCTTACTGTCCTCTTGGTGGAAGTCGTCGTCATACTTGCTTTGCTGATTTTCCGCATCACCGAAGTCGCCGATCTTTGGATTAGATATGATCCTCTGTTGCCAGTCATACCAGGAAATGGCAAGCGATCCCGTGTCCATATATCGGACATGGCAGTCTCAATACGCTGTCGCTCAGCTCGCTTTGGGGCCAGAACAGGGATCCGGTGCGTTGAGAGCAAAGACTGAGAGCGATTGAGACACTCGGTTTCAGGCGCTGGAGGTTCACCACTCTCTTTAAGAGAATTGGTGTTCTTAATGATGACCTGGTGCCCATTCCTGCGTGAATTGACAGTAGCCGCACGTTGAATCGACTGACGACGCGTGAGAGTCCCCGGTTGGCCGAAGACAAAGCCAAGAGTCTTGATGTCGAGGGACAGCATAGCCTGCCCGGAGGTTGGCAACAAGCCTTTCTTTAATTCAATTTCACTGTCGCGAGATCGCTCATGGAGATCATTTCGCCATTGCTGTTCCTCTCGCGAGGTGCAACCGCAAAAGATCATCTCGTATAGCTGCTGGTCGAATTCGAACATCATTTTCCATGAAAATGGGGCGGTGTGACACTGGAGCCCTGAGCCTTGTGAGCTAACAATCGATGTATTTCAAAATGTACGGCCTTCTTACCCCTGCCGTTGTCTACGTCAACTATCTGTATATCGCTTGTGTTGATGATCGCGACTATACTGAAGTTCGAGCTCTTCTGGGGGAGTGCAAGCAGCAGATGAGATTTAAACAATGCACAGAGCATGTACTCTCCGCGCAAGTCTCCACTATTTGACTGATACGCGCCGTAAAGGACTCCGCAAAGCGAGAAATGACCCATGGTTCGAAGCGAAGTAGGCGATGGAGACTGTAAAGCCTCAATGTTAGCAGAAGATACGCGGATGCAGGTTACGTCTATGGACTCACAGTATCTGGCAATACCAAAAGATCTTGAAGATGCCATGATCTCTGGATTTTGACCTGCGTCTGCTGGTCGTTAGTAGCCTTGTTGATCTCTTTGGCTGTCTCACGAAGCCGAAACAACACCTTTTCGATCTCTGCGCTAGATTGTTGACCATCGATTACAGGAGTATGGTTGTGGAGGTCTGCGAATAAGAGCGGATATCTGCATACTCGTTGTATAGGCTGACGAAGAAGGAGATCAGCTAAGCTTTTCGATTGAAGGGGGCCGTGTCTTTTACCTTGATCAACAGGTCTTCATGGGTCAGGCCTTTTTTACTTCCCTCCAAAACTCCATTTTGCGGAAAGAGTGAATTGACCAAGGCTTCGATGCCTCGCTCATACGTTGACCAATTTGGTATGATCTTCGAAAGCATCGCCATGTTCCGTAGCATGGACTCGTATTTGGCGCCATACTCCTCGTATAAGAAGAAGCGCCTGAGCTGATTCACATAGTCGGTTAGCCTTGATCTTTTCTGCAATCTTTGGATGATGGGAATCTCGTACCATACGTTCAAAAACTCTAGCAACGTCAGCAGCCTCTCCTGGCATCGTCACCAAGGTTCGATCCCTGTGGCTTCCGAACTGGGAAGAATGATTTGCAGTGCGAGCTTTTATGACGGGACTTTCACCCGATGGTTCTTCAGCGCTCTCAACGCTATACCAGCGTGGATGTTTTGACCGCTGCTGAGCAGCAGCGTCGGATTGCATGTGGGAATTCGGCATCAGAGTCTTCATCTCAAGCAGAATATCCTCGTGCAAGCGCAGCATATCTGCAACGTTCTGCGAGATCTCTGGCTGCGTAGCTTGAGGGCCCTTTGGCGCGGAGTTGAGCATGAAGAAATAGACCTTAACCTTCTGTCAGCAATCGCAGATCCCAGTGAAGGATCATAGGGACCACAAACGTGCAGTAAGACCTTAAGATCCGCTACGTAGCTTTCCTCGGAGCTGATCAATTCCTCCAATATCCGGCGGCGCTTTACTGCCCGATCCCAGGCAGCTCTTTCCTCTGCCCGTGCGGCGACTTGGTCACCATCTATAGATGCTCTACTAGCTGTGTTACTTAATCTGCTGCCTCTGCCACTCCTCAAGAGATGAGACCGTGAGATCAGGGGAGTGTGTGGTCTGTCCATCTTGGATTGCAGTCTGACGGTGGCTGATTTGATAGCATTTCGGATGCCTGAAGACGACCATGAAGATGCTTTCTGGTGTCCACTGAGCCGTGTGCTCCGCGGCATATCACTTTCAATAGGGTTTTCCTCATCAAAGTCGTCTAATGTCCAGCGCTCTTTGCGAAAAGTAAGTGAGTGTCTGCGCTTAGGTCCTTGGGGACGTAGAGTGTCGATCAACCTCTTCAGGGGATTCTCAGATTTGATGGGATGCTCGGTTGCTATTTTGAATGATCTGGGGCCCGTCTCCTCTCGGCTTGCATTGCGGGGCAATCTGGGGGTAGACAGCGTTTCTTGCTTCCTGACGTCGAATGACAAGCCCCTATCTGTGTTATCGTCGGCGTCCCGCGCAGAAGCAGATTCGAGCGTATTGTAGAGACCTTCGCCACAGCCGACATTGGTGTCGATGTCTCCCAATGGTCCTGCTTCCACCAGCTGACTCGAGACCCTCTGCTCGTGGGGCGGTGGTGGTGGGACATCATTTCCCCAGCTGGACCTGTGCGAAGCTTGCTTTGATGATCGTCTTATTGACGAGGAGGTGGTCGGATCTGGAGAACTCCTCATTGATGAGTGTGAAGCATTATGCCTTACCACCAGGTTTTCGTTTCTGAACTGGAGGCGAGCAGACGAAGTGGACCCTAGGGAGCGTGCAGAGCCAGGAGAAGATCTATACTTTGAAGCACGTTGGATCGTGCCCACGGACCGTTCAGAGGTCTTAGACTGCTGGTCGCTAGGCACACTAGGCCATGCGTTTCCCGCAATGGAGGGCGAGATCGCTGTCGGACTATGGAGTCGTAATCCGGACATCGTGGCGGAGAAAGCTTACAGAAATCCAATCCCAATGTTATTCTACTGGGAGCGTAGAGATGCTCCGTAGAATGATGTAAATTAAGCACTTCGTAAGTCACATGCAGGCGTAAAGAAGCAGAGAGGATAAACAAAAACATGGGAGAGTAGAAACTCTGAATATAATTCGCGCTGATAGGACCTCTGGAAGCTAGCATAATCTCTGTAACGACTTATAAACAGGAAAGTGCAATAGAGAGATCCGGCGAGAACGAATCGCAAATGGTAAGGGTCCATGATGAAGGACGTTCTTGCAGATAACAGACTGTTGGCTACTACCAACAGCCTCACACTTCTGGCTTGCAATCGCCAATGTTCGCATCGCGCATCAGGGAAGGCGCTTTGTTGCAGAGTGTTCTGGATGGGAGCGAGATGCTTAAAGTACATCGGTATCCAGGAGGTCCCAAGGCCGGAGATTAGAGGAGCTGCTCGGGCATCCCAAGATGTTAAGTATTCACTACAATAGCATGAGAACGAGCCTGTTCTATAGGCCTGCAGCTTGAACAGGTCGCCGTAAAAGTCACACGACCACTGGTGCTTCTTTGAAGGATGCCTTATCAGGCCAATAATGAAGGAGGAGTGAACATCTCTCCCGAGCTCCCTTCATTAAGGGCGCTTATTGGTGGTGAGTCACGTGAGGGGCCCTATAAGCTTAGACTAGCACAGCCTAGCCGAGTGAGTGGAGCTAGTGTGACGTTTGCCCTTTCCAATTCCACAAGAGAAGGTCCTAATAAACACATCCGCCCTCTCAAACACCCCAACTTCTTCCCCACGAGAAAGCATTCTCCACGTTCTCATTATACCTCTTTGTCTACTCAATTCAATCGTAAGACTTAGCCAGCAGAGCTGAGTTCACACATTAGCTCCTTGTTCAAACATTCACCAGGTAAGATCCTTTGCTTGTGTTCCCCATCACCTGGCCTACCCCGTTTGTCCAAATGTGCCCTTGTGAAGACTCCTTTCGCTGGCTGGCATTGTCTATGTACAATGTCACTAGTGAGCCTTTGGCCGTCGCCGTGAATAGTTGGGGCCTGAATCCATGCGCCGAGGGGCACGCGAAGCCGGATGACAGACCTTCACCTCATGGTGCTGGTTCGCATGCCTTGCAGTTCAGCCATCTCTTCAGATTCAGCCTACTTTCGTGCTTTCTCTAGCAACCATGGCTCGAGAGGCGG